AGTTGGAATAATCAGAAGAAACAGAAAACTTGACAAATGACAAGATGTATACAGTTGATATTATACACAGGTTTTACAGTTACAACTGGTTTTACACAGTGAGCCCCACTGGACAGGAGGTCAGGGTGATTCCTGTACAACTCCGCCCCCTGGTGTTTAGTAGAAGAAATACAGGGAAAATACAAGTTGCATGCTAATCTTGCTGTTATTAGCCAAAAAAACAAACCCCAACATTCTACTTTTCCATGTTTTAAAACTGAGATCTAGCTAATAACTAAGTAGCTAGTACTTTCCACCTTTTATGCCAGGAGGTACTTTTACCTTAAAAAGTCGAAATTACAATTAAAATACATGAATACAAAGTTATGTATCCATACATTGAGTCGACTTGAAACACATTAACACATCAAGTTTGCAATTAAGTGTGAAAATAGTAAACACAACCATATTCTTGGTATGGTCTTCTTATTAATGTAAAACTATGTTTCTCTTAGGTCCCGTGCCAGCTTCCTCCATGGCTTCTCCCCCATCAGCCTGCAGCAGTGTGTCTCAGACTCTGACCCCTCAGAGCGTCCCTCCACCTCAGGACGCACCCGGCTGGCAGTCGGAGATGGTTTGTCCAGAGATGGACACCCTGAGACAGATGCTGTATGGAGGCACAGACAGCAAAGAGGCCCGGGAAAAACTCCTGCAGGAGATTATCAAGATAAGAGTGAAGCAGGAGGAGAAGCTGGCAGTTGCTTTGCAAGCGAAACGAAGCCTTCAGCAGGTATGACATCCTGTTCCTGTGAAATACTATGTGGCAGGAATGAGAGTCATCTCTGTGTTTTAAACATGAAATGATTCTGATGTCTTTGTTACCAGGAATTGGAGTTTGTGAGGGTGGCAAAGAAAGGCCGTCTTCGTGAGGCCATCGAAGCCAAGCGAAACCTGCGAAAGGAGATCGAACGCCTTCGCGTGGATTGGGAGAGGAAGATGAGGGACGCGGAGGAGTCTAGTGGGCGGCTGAAAAGAGAGCTGGAGAGGGAGAGACAGCTGCGAGTGTGTGACAAAGGCTGCGAGGCTGAACGTCTCCGGGTCAAGTACTCCACTCAGGTGAGATGTCTGCAACATAATCAACACAACCACCTGTATATACTCTGTTGATCTGTGATTTTTTGTATCCCTTTGCTTCATTTGTATACTGACTGCCACCTGTTGTTTTGTGCAGATTGAAGAGTTGCATGTGCAGCTCCAGCAGGCAGAAGCTGACCGTGAGCAGCTGAGACGAGAGCTTCAGCAGGAGAGAGAAGCTCGGCAGAACCTGGAGAGTGTTGTTAAAGACCTGCAAACCCAGCAGGCCCTGCAGGCCGACAGCAGCCCTCCTGCAGAGCCCATGGACGCAAACACAGACGCACACAGACAGACCACACAACCCACCAACGGATCTTAAAGTTTCACATTCAAAACTGGAGAAAGAGACTCAATAACAAAGGAGCATGGTAAAGGACTTTGTTGCACCTCCTGTTAGGGAAAAGAGAACTCAACAAACTGCAAAGTTTTGGAGAGGAAAAATCAGTCATATATAATATGGTATGATACAAATCAATATTATTATGACAATATATGAATTTTATGAAATGAACTGGAAAGTAGCATGATGTCTGAGCATGTTGTAGAGCGTGAAATTAAGAAAGACTTCTTCAGTGATGACCACATCTCTCCAGTGACGTCAGAGACACATAACGCTGTCCAAGGATTTTATTTTGGTATAAGCTATTCTATGATGTGCAAATATAGCCACATAACACTACTTGAATATGAAGGGAAGAAACATGTTGAGTGGATGATGAAACTCTTGGTGCCACAAAATATTGGTACACTCAAAGGTGTCATTGCAGACCACTGGAAACAAGAGACACCAGTTTACCACTATGTACTTTTAATATCGGCTTGCTTTTTATAACTGTGTAGAGGATGTACTTTTTAAGAAATAATGCTTGCGCAGCACTGTTATTCCACAGGCAAGAAAAAACATCCATATACAAACATGTACGCATGTATACCGGCTTGTCTACCTTTTGTATTTTATAAACCTGAAGTATTGGAGGTTACGTGGGCTGCCTTCAGGTCCACCACTGTTTTATGCTTAGATATTTTATGGAAGTGTTACTTTTTAATATTATAATGCAACTTTATTTGTTGTTTGAGCGTTGTTTTCCAGTTTTTGCAACCAAACCATGTGATAAATAGCAAATATTCTTGCCCACCTTAGTGCAGATAGGTCAACAAATGCCCTCCTAAAAGAAAGAAAAAGACTTCAAGAGATGTCTGTTTTCGTTGACATGCGGTACTTCTGATTTTCTATTGAGTATTGTAAAATAATTTATATTCTATAATAATAATTTGCTGCCTATCAACAGAAAGCATTCATTTTTAGTCACTGGTTTTAGGGCTCTTAAATCAACAAATGCTGTTTATATGAACAACATTTCTACATATTATACGAAAATATGGATATATATTTTTTTACTTTAAGAAAAGGAATTGCACTTTTTAAAGAAAATAACCTTGCATTGAGCATTGTACTCCCTGTTACATTTTTAAACACAAGTTAAGAAACTTTGAATTCAAATACACTTTCCCTCAGTTTCCTCTGATGTAAATACAATGATATTGTAAATAAGATATTTGTCGGTATGTTTGCTTGCTCCAGACTTAAATTGATTATGAATATTATTTTTTGCTCTTACTTGAAACCAAAAAGAGACTATATTTGGATTTTAAAAACTGCAATTGTGTTGTTGTATCCCTGAGCATCATTGCGATCACAGGGCATTCAGCAGAATGAATGGACCTGTTGGTTTGAACGAGGAGAAGGAAACCATCAAAGGTCATAAACCTATCAATAGTTTTTCTAGGTTTGACACAGCAACAGATTATTATAATTTGTCCCTTGATTTTGTTTATTTGAAAAGATCTTTATTATTTGATGAATTATAGAGTATATATTACACTACAGACCAAAAACTGAAAAATGGATTTGAAATCTCTGCACCTCCAGCTCCCTTCGACAGATAGACCAGAAGCGACACTTTCTATCGGTTTCATCCATAGGTGCTCTCGTGTATTTGAGACAAGAAACACTTTTATGTCTTATCATTACTTATGATACCCTTGCTCAGTATTTGTTGGGTACAGTGTAATAGCAATATCCATTTTGTTAGCTGATGCTGTTGTAGTTTTGGTTTGGATGTGGGGTTTCACTTGCCTCTTGTTTAAATGTTTTCTTTTCCTTTGGAAAACTTGTATAATACCCATTAAAATCTAAATCAATCCTAAATCGTTCTGAGAAGTGTTTTTGTTATTGTGCCTGCGATGGAAACTGTGTTACAGTGCATGTTTGTGTCTCGCAACTTGGAACGCCGAAATGTATTACAGACATTCAGCGGGTTAAGAAAGGTTAAGGTTGGGTAATTGACAGAAATCATTCCAGCCTGTTTCCTCAGTTTCACAGACCGTCTCAAGTCAGAGGATGGTTAGCTCACATCCCAGCCCTCTCTTTACCAGATCACTCCTGAATTTGTTCATGAATATCTTCATATAAACCAGAAGACAGACTTAAATACAATAAAAAGAGATGCATCGTACTAATATTATATATATGATATGAAAGCTATTGAAGAAAAATACTTTCCATAAAAAACAGCATGATTTGGGTCACCAGCTGGCGGCCCAAGTATTGAGACTCGGTTTCCGTGCGGAGGACACAGGTTCAAGTCCAACCTCGCACCATTTACGCATGTCCTGCCCTCTGTCTCTCCCTTTCAACACTGTCACTATTCAATAAAGGCTAAACTGGCCAAGAAAAAAAGAAACAGCATCATTTTTGTAATATTTACAACGTTTGTATGAAATAGAGGAATCAATTAAACGCAATACATAGAGTTGAGTCTTCCTTGTCAAGTGAATAATAATATCTGGTCACTATTTTAAGTTACTGTTTCACATGACATGAAAGCTATTAAAATACTGAAATTATCTTAAATGAAATGTAATGTAAATTTTCTTTTGAAATATCTTTATAAATAAATCAATAGCACATAAGTAAGAAAAAAAAGGCGTGCCACATATCACACGTTATTGTATAATTTCCCCTGATATGGGCAGGTTAGAATGGAGTTATTGAAAATAACATTGATCTTGTATCTTCCAATTGGTAATTTATTGATGGTCCCTAAGTAAAATCCGGTTTTATCAGTTATCACAAGAGAAAACTAGTTTTTGTTATCCTAAAATAATTGCAAGCATGTCATACTTTTGCCTGATTTATTTTGCCAATTTTCACGATGAGTTTGTACAGCAAAAAGCTTGAAATAAAAAATGTGCGTGTCTTTTTATACATTATATTGTATGTCACACATTTCCTCTAGGGGGGATCATTGCACACAATTGAAGGGTGGATAATGTAGTGCTTGTTAAGTCAAATGCACCAGTGTGAAAATATCCCTAAATCATTATTTTGTATATCCTGAAAACCACCTATTGAATCAAATTCAATTGCTTTACTATTTAATGATAAGGACTGCCATTGTTGTAGTTAAATGAATATTAACAGTCTTTCTGCCCCACTCTCTTTCTTCAGAGGCTTACTGGTTGCGTGAAAATCCCTGCATGAAAGCAACGCACAAGCCTTAGCCTACTCCAGGATTACAGCTTGAGGAAGATTTAGTCACTGACACATGTTGCACACTCTTTCTCTGCGAACCTCCTCTGAATGCAAAAAATAAACACAGAAGAACATATGGCTGCTACACCGGATCAATGGTCATTTCATGATGAGGAATGAACCTTCAGGATGGGAATATTGTTCCCTGATCCAATATGGGAAGATTTAAACAGGAAGACATGGATATGCTGCGTGAGAGAAGCTGTGCTATAAACAAACTTCCCTGAGGAGTCTTGCAGAGTGAGGTGAGTTAATGGGACAGGAGAGTTTGACTCAAATGTACAGCTCAGGGATGAACAGCACCCCAGCGATGGCTCCTCTGTCTCCAGGGCCGAGTGACACCCCACCACGCTCGCCTCTGTCACCCAAGAAGAGCACCTTTCAGTCTTTGGGGTCTCTGACATCAGGAGTTATGTCCCCCTCGCTTAGTAAGGGCTCCTCTTATCAGGCAAGAAAGGCTTCGATTGCCTTGAACTCATCCAACCCGTCCATAATGACCTCTTCGAAACTCTGGCAGAAAGCGTCCATCTCCAGACTGGCGGAGGAGTTTTTCTGGATTGGTGGCAGTGTGGTGGCACAGCCAACATGGAGACTGGGTCAGATGGGTAAGACTTGTAAATTACTCAAGAATATTCAAACACAAAAATACTGCAGATAAAGGTTGTTAAGTAGCATTTTAAAAATATTTTGTTCACACAATATATGAAATTTTAAACATTTTGAACTTTAACCCTGATATTTCAATACAATTTTCCTTTAAATTAGTGCATGTCTCAACATAACAGAGTAGGCCAGGGAAGCCTGTGAGCATATGGACTGTAGACAATCCTTTGGGATTAGCCTAACTGAAGTACCAGTTTGCGTCACATGCATCTGAGCTTCAGATTACATGGGTTACCTGCTCTCAGCACACAAAACAAACACCCCACTTTCCCATTGGCCTGAGCATTACATGATAATTAATTGCTTGATCTGAGATGTTATTTCAGTAGATGCACTTTGTACCCCTAGCTTTAAAAAGTTCCAAGAAATATCAGCTGTAGTTAGTATAACATACTTTGATTCACAGTGAGGGTCTTAATAGATTTGTTTTTTTTGGCAAAGATAATTTTACGGTGGTGGATCTTTTCCCTTATTTTCCCTTTTATCATGAACACATACAGCTACAGTTGCAAGAAAAAGTATGTGAACCCTTTGGAATTACCTGGATTTCTGCATAAGTTGGTCATAAAATGTGTTCTGATCTTCATCTAAGTCACAACAATAGACAAACACAGTCTGCTTAAACTAATACCACACAAACAATTATATGTTTTCATGTTTTTATTGAACACACCATGTAAACATTCACAGTGCAGTGTGGAAAAAGTATGTGAACCCCTAGGCTAAAGACTTCTTCAAGAGCTAATTGGAGTCAGGAGTCAGCCAACCTGGAGTCCAATCAATGAGACGAGATTGGAGGTGTTGGTTAAAGCTGCCCTGCCCTATAAAAAATACTTACTAATACTATTCTTAAGAAGCATTGCCAGATGTGAACCATGCCTCGCACGAAAGAGCTCTCAGAAGACCTACGATTAAGAATTGTTGACTTGCATAAAGCTGGAAAGGGTTACAAACGTATTTCTAAAAGCCTTGATGTTCATCAGTCCACGGTAAGACAAATTGTCTATAAATGGAGAAAGTTCAGCACTGTTGCTACTCTCCCTAAGAGTGGCCGTCCTGTAAAGATGACTGCAAGAGCACAGCGCAGAATGCTCAATGAGGTGAAGAAGAATCCTAGAGTGTCAGCTAGAGACTTAAAGAAATCTCTGGCACATGCTAACATCTCTGTTGACGAATCTACGATACGTAAAACACTGAACAAGAATGGAGTTCATGGGAGGACACCACGGAGGAAGCCACTGCTGTCCAGAAAAAACATTGCTGCACGTTTGAAGTTTGCAAAAGAGCACCTGGATGTTCCACAGCACTACTGGCAAAATATTCTGTGGACAGATGAAACCAAAGTTGAGTTGTTTGGAAGGAACACACAACGCTATGTGTGGAGAATCCAAAGGGTTCACATTTTTCTTGCAACTGTACTTAAATCCCTGTATGACGCAGCCTATAATCTCATGAACAAGTGCTTGATGGTAAACCTCTGCTTGTCTCCACTGCTACCTTGTTTGTTATGAAGCCTCAATCACAATAATTCTCTCAGCAAAATGTTTCAATAATACATTTTATCATAGTATTACTGATTGAATGTGATGATCCGTGTGGATTTCAGTCAAGCTCAACTAATAGACGATACATAATGTGTCTCCATGTGCGTCCTTGTAGTGGAGAGGTGTATGTGCACTATGCAGATCGGCACTCAGATGACCAAAATGAAGGGGAAGAAGAAAGGACTTGTCCGATTCTTTTACCTAGACGAACACAAGTCCTGCATCCGGTGGAGGCCCTCCAGGAAACATGACAAGGCTAAAAGTGAGTCATGAACAAACTGAGTTTCAATATTTATTTTGGCGGAGCTGAACATACAGTACAGCTGGCTGTCTTGAGTGGGTTTGGTGTTTGGATTTAGACCTATAGATAGGCTACAATTATTGAAAGTGTATCACATGGCGTGAAAACGTATGTTCTTCTCTAAACTTCTGTTTTAGCATATTTCGCCTATGTTTTTCTTTGGTTATGATGATGTTCTTAGCAACCAGTTTCTTGTAGTTTTACCAGGAAGCTCGGAGATGTTGATGTTTAGTTGATTGACCACCAAGACATTTATTTTATCGTCTGTTTCAGTAACTATCGATTCCATCCATGAAGTATGTGAGGGGAAAAAGTCAGAGATGTTCAGGCGGTACGCAGACAACCGTTTCGACCCAAACTATTGCTTTAGTATTTACTACGGGGAGCGAGTGAAGTCCCTGGACTTGGTCTCCAACAACGCAGAGGAGGCCCGCACCTGGATCACCGGGCTCAAATACCTCATGGCTGGCATCAGTGATGAGGACAGTTTTACGAGGAGGCAACGCACCCGTGATCAATATCCTTTTTCCAGTTTCTCATGCACATGTTTAGTTTTTAAATGATTAATTATTACAAATACATCACTACTTGTCTAGGCTATCATAGAGGTAAACACAGCCACTTGTAGAAGAACAGCAGACATAAACTGATTCATGATCATGGCTTTGTTATGTTCTCCTTAAGTGCATCCTCACATGGTTACAGCAGACTTTCTCTGAGGCCGACAAAAACGGAGATGGCACCTTGAGCATTGGAGAGGTTCACCAGCTGCTCCACAAACTCAATGTGAATTTACCCAAGGAGAAAGTCAGGCAGATGTTTCAAGTAAGACAAAGGTTGATTATGCAAACTTACGTTACATATATCTACTGAGCATGACCCAAAGTCAAAGCGATCTCTGTAGCCTACTTTTATATCTTCAGAATGCATATTGCATAACTGGAAATATAGCTTTTTTCAATTGTGGCTTCATGGCTACACTACAGATGACTACAGACTACAGATACTATAGATGTCTGTACATAATGTAGTGTAAATCCATCTGATACCTGTTTACATATTTCAGTCTGGATCGAAGTATAAAATAAAAAAATAGGTTTGTGGATGGCAAATAAATTGCATCCAACAGAAAATGCTTTCAAACATAACTTAAACCCAGACAGCATCTGCAAGACAGGACCGTAAAGCAATTATTTTTTTATGTACTCTTTTTATGGGCAGACACACTTTCTGAATGTACAAACTGGCTACAGAAAGTAAAACCGGAAAGTAAAGTGGTAGAAGGTTTTTGATGTTTCCCTAAGAAGCCTATTCTTGTGTGATCTTCACATGATTTTATAGACGCGGTAAGATACAAGGATGGTGATAAAACCAGCAAACAAATATGTAATTACAGTATTTTGGCATGAAATTGCAAGAGAGTGCCACAGGAAAGCCATATGGCCTCCGCTGAACAGATGGCTTTAGTTTCACTGCAGTATTGCTTTAGTTCAGTAGCTCTCTGTCCTCTCCTCCTGATAATGATGATAATCTCTGTGAAAGAGCTCCATCATGTTTGATGGAGAGAGAGATACATATATCTTTCAGATGAGTCTACAGTGGTACATGTTTTCTTTGGCAGGGTTGTTATCTGAAATCACAAAATGTGAGTTATTTCTTGTTCATAAAATACTTGTTGTCGTTATCTGTAGGAAGCAGACACAGACGAGAACCAGGGCTCTCTGGGCTTTGAAGAATTCTGTGCGTTTTACAAGATGATTTCCACTCGCAGAGACCTCTACCTGATAATGATCTCCTACAGCAATCAGAAAGAAGTCCTGGATCTTCACGACCTAGCACGCTTTCTGGAAAACGAACAGAAGGTATACCAACAACATTTGTGTTATCATGTAAAGTTGTTCAACTCTACTTGACACTTACACATTCATGGTTTTCCTCTAAAGCCATTCAATGTATTTTTGGTGTGAAGTTACATTCCGTATTGTAGTGTTCATTGTTGGATACAAATGTTTAGTTCCAAAATAATATATTAAAAGCCAAACATGGCAAACAAAATATTATTTGTAAGGATTGATACATAATAACTCAAATGATCATTATAGAACATTTCCTACTTCACAAAACATGTATTTAACATACGTGTAAAATGTCAGATGAGGTAAGCCAAAAATAACATTTCCTGATGTTTTATTTACAGATGCGAGGTTTGCCCAAAGAGTATCTAGTTGACATAGTAACCCAATTTGAGCCATGTCCTGAGAACCTGCAGCGAACAGTGCTGGGTATTGATGGTATGGGTAAATAGTTTATTACAACTATATAACAATGCATCAGTAATTTCACATGTGTCAATTAAACCTGACATGCAATGAACAAACAAATAATACACCTGCACTGAATCTCCCTTTCTTTAGGTTTTACTAACTTCATGAGGAGTCCGGCAGGTGATATCTTCAACCCTGAGCACAATCAGGTGAACCAGGACATGACGCAGCCGCTGACCAACTACTTCATTGCCACTTCACACAACACGTACCTGACAGGAGACCAGCTGCTCTCTCAGTCTCGAGTGGAAATGTACGCCTATGTTCTGCAGGCAGGCTGTCGCTGTGTGGAGGGTAAGAGCCTAAAAACAGAACTGCAGCTCTCTTCACTGTTATTTTAGGACATTACAGACAATGTGACTCACTCATCCTTCATTATTTCTTCTTCTCTTATTTATTTCTCCCTTTGCAGTGGACTGCTGGGACGGGCCTGACGGGGAGCCCATTATTCATCACGGCTACACTTTGACATCCAAGATTCCATTTAAAGAAGTCATTGAGACAATTAACAAATATGCCTTCACAAAATCACCGTAAGTGGGGTACTGATTTTTGCAATCTTTCACAATAAACAGCATCTTTCATGTTGGTTCAGGTGTCATCACCTCGCCCCTCCAGGTACCCAGTGATCTTGTCCATAGAGAACCACTGCACTGTGCCTCAGCAAAAAAAGATGGCTGAGTATCTGAAGGAGGTGCTGCAGGACAAACTGGATCTGTCCGGTGTCAACGTTCATGAATCCAAGAGGCTGCCTTCCCCTGAGATTCTTAAAGGGAAGGTTTTGGTCAAGGTAAGTTGTTTTTGCAACATCTGCAGCCAAATACTGCTCAGGAGTATTAAACAAAGCACACAAACAAAACTGACTGGTAATATTCATTAATTCATTTATGTTTTCTAGGGTAAAAAGCTACCAGCAAACCTAGATCCTAGTGCAGAGGAGGGTGATGTGTCGGATGAAGACACTGGTGATGAGGAAGAGGAGGAGGAAGAAGATGACGATGATGATGATAATTCACAGGCAAAGATGGATTGATGGATGGATAGACAGACAGACAGACGGATAGACAGACAGACAGACAGATAGACAGACAGACAGACAGACAGACAGACAGACAGACAGACAGACAGACAAACACAGACAGACAGACAGACAGACAGACAGACTGTCTTGATTGGTGAAATAATGTATTATGTTTGACTGTTTTAGGGACGGTAGTATCGTTAACCCTACCAATCAAAGAAAAAAGAAAAGACGATTTGACAAATCGATCATAGCGAGCTTCAAACGAAAGGTCAGCCGCTTGCTTATTCTCTAAACGCTTTTTTAAATGGCCCATTCTACAATTTCCCAGCTACTACAGATACTGCAAATAAAGTTTATTTTTTCAGAGGAAAAAAAGGTTACGAGTGAAAAACAAGACAATACCTGGTGGCGAGTCAGACCACAGCAAGGAGAAGGCACAAATAGTTTACCATCCCAAGTAAGACTGGTCATAGAATTAAACACTTTTAGTCATTTCCTTTTCTTAATATTGTGAGTTATACTTACCGTATGTCTATATCTCTACTTTCAGGAAGAGGAAAACAATGAGGTTGTCCCGACATCTGTCGGACCTGGTCAAGTACACAAAATCGGTCCATGTGCATGACATAGAAACACAAGGTAAAGGGTCTTAAAAAATGTGAACATCAAAACATACATACAAATCTTACAGTCAATAAAATATTCAAGCAATGAATGTTTGATGCTGTGTTTATTCTATCTGCTAGCATTTGAAAACAGTTGGCAGGTATCATCCCTCAACGAGACTGTTATGAACCAGATCTTACAGCTGAAAGCAGCCGAGTTGGTCCGCTTCAACCAACGCCAACTTATAAGAGTCTACCCGTCCAACTACAGAGTGGACTCAAGCAACTTCAACCCACAACTGTACTGGAACGCAGGATGCCATATGGGTAAGATGGTCACAGAGACTACAATGATGCCTACTTTAAAGTTACAGTGAGAGGTTGTATTAAGTCCTGCAGCAGTTTTTCATTTGTTTTCATGTATTTTATTTTAGTTGCACTGAATTATCAAACAGAGGGCCGGATGCTTGATCTGAACCGAGCCAAGTTCTCAAGCAATGGGAACTGTGGATATATTCTAAGGCCAAAGGTCATGTGTAAAGGTATGTGCATATACAGATTGCCTAAAGTGAAAGACAACTGTCTTTGTGGGGTAGTTAATTGAGTTTTGTTTTTTTCTCAGGTGCCTTTAACCCCATGTTAGAAAGTCCCCTACAAGGAACCAGAAAGATTCAGTTAGTGCTGAAGATCATCAGCGGACAGCAGATTCCTAAACCCAAAGACTCAATGTTTGGGGACAGAGGAGAGGTGAACATGCTGCTCTTTTAAGAATATCTATTAAGACAATTGGACAAACCATTAAAAAATATATTTCTCATCACTAAAATGCTCTTTTACTCATGTTTCTCCTCTTGCAGATTATTGATCCCTATGTTGAGGTTGAGATAGTTGGTATAAATGTGGATTGTTCCAAGCAGCAGACCAAGGTGGTGGATGATAATGGTAAGTCTTATCTCATTATTTCATAAACAACCATCGTCCCAATAGTTTTTCTATTTGTGTGACAACTGTTTAACTGTCATTCAGGTTTCAATCCAATGTGGGAGGAGACCCTTGTCTATAACGTCAAAATGCCGCAGATCGCTCTGGTGCGTTTCCATGTGTGGGATCATAATCCTCTTGGACGAGAATTCATCGGACAGAGAACTGTTGCTCTCAGAAGCTTGATGCCAGGTAGATTACTTGATGGGATATCTGATATGCAGACTTTTGCGATGTGACAAACAATACCACGCTGCAATAAAGTAAATTAACCATTCAAATAAAATAAAATAAATGTGGCTTAACGTAAAAAATGTAATGTAAAATGTGCAGGTTATCGGCATGTGTACCTGGAGGGGATGGCGGAGTCATCCATCTTTGTTCATGTCGCTGTCAATGACATGTCATTAAAGGTAAGGTTATCTTAATTAAGTCAAATCAAATTTCATCTTTATCTGACAACTCTGTCTTTAAACCTTTGGTGTCCTTTATGACACAGATGAAACCTGGAAATGCGGTGCATGCGGCCAGAAAACACATCCAAAAAGCAGCTCAGAAGCATATGAAGGGTCCTCAAAAGCAGCCTTCTCTAGACTCCTCTGTCCAGTCCTCAGAAGACGGACGTGGTCTGTTCTTCCGCAAGGATCTGGATACCATTTCCCAGGACAGCAGGAATGGAGAAATATTTCCTCTGTTACAAGGCCCAACAGCCAAGACTGCAATCCTAAAAGGGGCCATGAGTGAGCCATTGAGGCGGGCGCACCGAGTTAAAATTCATGAAACATCGGGGACAAGGAGGGGAATCTTCAGCCGGGTGTCCTCCATTGACTCCTACCACACGGGGGCTGCTCCCTGTGCAAAAGAGGACAGCTTTGACCTTGAGACCTCACCCCAGGCTTCCTGCGAGGTTCCTGACAGCCAAAACTCAATTCAAGAAGAGTGGGAGAATGAACTTGCTGAACCGCCAGAGTCACACTGTGCTAAGCAGGAGACAGTTCAGAGGCTTGAGCCAAAGCATCCTGAACAGTTTGAGGAATTACCAACAGGACCAGACCCAGACAAGTTCATTGCTATTAAACCTGAGCAACCAACAGACACTCAAAGTCAGCCTGATACACTCTCTCTGCCTCGGCCTCAGCCTCTGCCTAGACACAAGCGACAGCATCTGCTTCAGCCCGAAGAAAAATTCTTTGCTCCACTGTCCCCTGCCAGGATGAGACGGACTTTAGAGGCTCCAGCCACACCTGGACAGTTTACACCAATACGAACAAAGGCCCGCTCACGCAGTTGCCCTCGAAAATCAACTGCATCTCCTCAGACACCTATGGTAACCCGCAGGCCTGCTGTCCCCTGGCAGACCCAAGGAGCACACAACTACAGCAGCTACAGCAACCAGGTGAGACCAATCCCCAACGGCCTCCTCCTGTCTGACAGCACATCCAGCGGCAGCGGCGGCAGCACAGACAGCCTGGAGTTTCTTCCGTCCTGTGTGCCAGCTGGGGCAGAGTCACGTGAAGGCACCCTGCAGAGGGAGATGAAGGCCCTTTTTGACCAGAAGATGAGGGAGATTGGCTGTAAATCCCCAATATTTCTAAATGGTGAGTCAGAAATGATGTGTCATAGTCTATATATACACTCTATGGTCATAGTAAGTAAATCAAAAGAATTGCAGATACAAATTTGGTTGACAGTATTAATCATGCATTTCTTTTTTTTCTGTTTTTTTCCCCTTTACGTTAGAACAAGCTGAGATTTGACTGGTCCTTCAGAAGACAATGAAGAGAGTAACAATACAACCACAAACGGTTGTTCCAAGAAATAATTGAGATTTTCTTTATAGATCAGTAGGAGAATACCACGAAATGTACACAATTAGATATATTTTTTTATTGTTATAGGCCCGCTGTAATGTTTACAATTAACACAGTTTGTATGCATGAAATAGTTTTTTTAAATACATTGTTGAATCATCTGACGCCATTGCCAACTGTACAAAACAGCATAAAGCACTTATATAAAAGTAACAGTAAACTAAGCACACTAGCAATATTTGTTAGTCTTATTGTTAACACTGATCACTGATTGTTTTTATCATATAAAATCTGTCTGCTTTTTTATTGAAATGTTAGTAGTACTATTTTAAAATCAATAAATTGCTTATTTGAATAAAATGTGAGTCCTGTTATTTTATATGCCGATGTAAAATATTATTTATTTTTTTCTGATGAATCTGATATATATTCAAGCAAGGGAGTTCAAGACCTACATTTAAGTTAACACTTCTGTCAAATGTTTAAGAAAATGCTCAGCTATCAAAGCTAAAAGTAACTATTGTCAGATTTCCTAAGAATAAAACTATGTTCATGTTTTTTATGCTTTTTCTTTATCTATGACAACATTTTCTTGGGGTTTGTTCGCATTACTTGTCCTCAAGCGCAGAGTCAGTTCTTCAGTCAGCACGGTGCAGCAGGATTTCTGTAGGATCGACAAATAAACAGAAACAATAGGTAAACAAATAATTCATCTATGTTGTTTAATTTAATGTCAATCGTTTTTTAGATGAGATAGATTTATTCAGACAAATGAGAGTCTGCATTTTCTTGTTGTGCTGATATGAAAACCAATTGGTTAATGCTTGTATCTGTACCATATGTGTTGTTTTCAAATGGTTAAGTTAACGCTGCAGACCTACAGGCTTATGAAACCGTTCAAACCCCCTTTTGGATACATTTAAGTACACACTGTTGAGCAAAGAACAAGGCTGTTTGGTCTAGTTTCTGAAAGGTTAGGAAGTTTTGTTTGTGGATGTTTTTTTTCCTTCCGCCTAACGGAAGTAATGTGATTTGAATGCACTTGCACTCACCCTCTGCTCAGCTGCACTTCTGCGGCTCTTGGAGGTGAGCTCCAGGACAGCCAGCAGTGCTCCCAGACCCAGGCCCAGGGAAAGAATCAGAAACATCCCCTTAAGGCTGTGTGGCTGCACAGCTGACGACTTGGCCTTGTCTGCGATGCAGCTGCTGGCCCACCATTTGCTCCGCAGGTAAGCCAGCTCCCCTTCCTCGCTCAGCTGTAGGATTGCCACACTGAGGTTCTTTATGATGGGTGAGCCTTGAGGAAATGTATAGGTTTATTGTTAATTATACAATTTTAATTATTAATTCTTTCAAATGTCATTTTCTATTAGTTTTATAATATGCTTAAGCTCACCAAGGCTGGCAGCAATGCTGTATCCTCTCATTCCAACCACTTCATGAGCTCTGACCAGCTCACAGTGACGTGCTACTGCCAAGTCCAAAGAAACAGACTCTCCAATAAAGGCAAAGTTTCCTTCTCTTGCACGCCAGACCCCTTCGTCCATAGACGAGACAAAACTCTTGGTTTTCTCCATGTGTTCAAAGATTCTGCGGTACACTGGATTGTTTGAATTCTGCATGAATGAAAAAACTGAATAAGAGAAACAGCAGAGAAACAGGGGATTCATAAATAATCCAATGTCTGTAGTCTACCTTGAAGAAGGCAAGGGTGGAGGAGCCACCCAGACAGCCATACTCGATGGTGTCCTGATTGGCCAAGTCTTCAAACCCTTTCACTGTGAGGTGAGTGGATTCAGAGGTCTTAGTGGAGCTGAGGTTAGAGAAATAACATGCCAGGAGGACGATGGTGAATAACCACCAGCTGCAGCAGATGACACGTCCTGAAAGAGCTTTGGGGTGAGGGCCAGCACCTGACAAAAACATTTGAGGGAGATCATTTTATAGAACACAAACAATAAGTACATATATTGTTGTCCATCTCAATTTGAGGGGAAACAATTGTACAACATAATGTGTCACCTTGTAGAGTCAGAGCTCCAGCTGTGTACCACAGGCTGTGGAGAAGGCTGAATCTGTTCTTCTCACTCTGAGGCTGACTCCACTCACATGGGCTGAGTCTGCATTTGCATACAAATATTACTTATTAATACGATCGCACTCAAAGGAATTCCACTGCCAGCAGAAATGTGAAAATATCCACAGACAAGATATTCAAATCCACATCACATCAATACAAATCCACTAATAAATCATTAATATCACTGTTTTAATAGATTATACTTGAATCACTAACCTGGCAGCTAAAAAGATGCAAGCAGCGGTCCCGAGGTAGGCGATGAGTATGCCGACCCAGGTCTTGGCTGTAAAGGGAGACAGGAAATCAAAGAGGCCCATTCCCTCTGAGATATCCTTCCTCAGAAGGATGCTGATTCCTGTCTGCATGAATGGTTTGGTCATCCCCACCGCTTTCTCCCGGGCTGCAGTGAGCGTCAGCGGAGCAATAGCGAGGTCCGCCTCCTGTAGAGAACGCATAAATACTTACTGTTAATTTATAGAAACTGCTTAAGAGACTTTAATGCACCAGCAACCCTGCTGATAAAGTTTACAAATTCACTGATTTTGAATGTATCCGTTGTGAGTCACAGACACCAGCTGGGGTCATTCTAAATCCAGCAGAGAGGATGGCTGCCCTTTGACCTTTCCAAATGTCAGTGTTGATGCATGCACTCACCCCTCTCACCACCTCTCCAATCATCCCATTCCAGTTCCCGCTCTCATCCTGTCTGCCGTATGCAGAATCCTTCACCAGGTGCACCTTGTACTTGAGGCCCAGTTTCTTGGCTACTTCAGAGAGCAAGTCCATGCAAAAGCCTTCCAGTTGTGAGCCTTTGGACACTGCATATGGCTCTTGCTATACAAATAAAATACATCGAAAGACAATCAGTGACGTGTTGCATCTTAAATAGTTTACATTTCATGGAGGTTAAAATAAAAATACCTTTATGGTTGTAATTCTCAGCTCTGATTGCACTGGTGTTGAGGGTGAAAAGTAAGAAACATGTCAGTACAAAAAGTCTTACACATAAGCATGTTAATCTTTTCTATGAAAGCTTGGAAATGAGACAAGATATGAGGGGGAATAAACCCATTGGTTCTCAACATATAATCTGAGGAGTCACAAGATGAGTAAAGGGATAAGAAAGAAAAAAGTGTTTACCTCTTCAGGCATCCTTTAAATCAAGATGAAAAAAAGTGACCCTTTGATTGAATTTCAAACTTTGATGGGGTCACAATTGCATGCTGTTCCAATTTAAGGGGGTCAAATGCGAGAAAGCATGGGAACCATTGGAATAAATACTGTAGATACATATTGTTATCTAGGAAAGGTTGATCACAGCTAAATATGGAAAGATCAGAGGTCTCTTTTGTGCATTGGCCATCTTTAGACTTGACTGTAACATGCAGAGATGTCTGAGATTAACATTGGGTGACCATGTTTTGACCTTCTTGTCACAACTGTTTTCCGGTATCCTAGAGATCTGGCCTCTCTCCTCTTTTGAAAACGGTTTGAACACCATAATCTGTTTAGAGCATTGTTTTAATTCAAAGACTCTCAATGCCATGGCACTGTGAGATGGGAAGGAAGTCAAAGAGTATCAAAAGCCCTCGATTCAGGCCAAGGCCTCGGGGATCCATCGCCACAGGGTGATCCTGACAACCATCAGATCCTCCTTTTCAAAAGATGACACGTATACAAGCTCTTCAAGACTTTTTGGCCACTCAGAAACACAAGGCCTTTGTTTGCTCCATAGAGTTAAATTATTACCGTTTTTTGTGAGAGTGACAACTGGCTCGCTTCCCTTTCTGTTTTTCAAGAAGAGTTGGACAGGATGTGTTGCTACACTTTGATATTGATCCGAGCTGGCTGTTTATGTATTTATGTCTCCTCAAGCCTGAGAAATTTCTACCAAATCCAGCAGTGAAAACATGAGGAATTTGGCAGGGGATAAAAAGAAAGCTGTCACCACACTGAATAACAAAATGCAGTGACCGGGTCAAACTATGAAATATTGGTGAAAAGGGACAAACCTAAGTTTTCCAATGTTGTCAATCCAGCCAACTTGTATAACCAAAAGCCCATTTAGTCAATTTCAACATGGTTCAAGGTTAAAAACGTATTTGTTTTATCTTACAAGCCGTGTTAAATCTTTTGATTTGGTGTATCATAATTATTTCTGCCTAAGTAAAACCAGTGATAAAAAATAAATAAAGTTCCTTACCTGCAGTGCACACTCCCAAGTCCAGGAAAACCCCAACAGACAATACACAGAAGCCAAACAGCATCCTGATACTCTTGATTTGCATCCTAGAAGATAAAAGATGTGACTTAAATCAAGACACCAAATAGTGCCACCAACAATCATTAAGGAGAGAATATGATGGATGTACCTGAGATGAGTCCAAGATGTGGCTTCTGAATTGGGACGTCAGACTTCAAACCGACCTGGGCGATCTCGACTCTGATGCAGTGTGATCTGAAGTTTTTCAGACTCAAATGTGTTATGGAAACAGCCAGCAAAGTTTTTGTGGGTGGAGAAATAGGAAGGATTTTGAAGGGGTGGGAAGAAGCAGCAGGAGGTGCACATAAACAGCTCCCACTGTGGATCATCATGTGGATTTAATACTTAATATGACCTTGAAGAATCATTTTATAATAATAAAATGATCATGTTGTAACAGTAACATTACAATTGTATTTCAATGAAAATTAATATCACTCTTTTTATAATGTCTATTGCATGTTAACAAAGTTGAATAATTATGGCTCCTGAATATCAAAGCAGCTGTCATGCTTGGTGTTTTGTTCAGGAAAAAGTTCATTCTTTAGAACTGTTACTGATATTGATTAAATACGTATGAATAACTAATTAAGATTAAATGTATAAATATATATGTAACCATTTCTTTGGAGGTGTTGTGCAAGTTTGGAATGAGAAGGTTAACAAGCTTTAGTACCTCTTTAAAAAGCAAAGAATTCGACCACAGAATTGACTGAAAGGCAGATGACTTTGTGAGGCCATGGAGGTTTCTCAGTCTTGCAAAAATGTAGAGAGAAAATAAATATTGAGTTCACATATTTGTGCAGAAACCAAACAAAACATATATGTGCTGTAGCTGGAAGACGGCCTTGAAAGGTGTTAGAGGCTCAGTAAAAATGTTGAATGAGTAATAATCTTTTATCATGGAATGGATACAAGGAAGGAAGCCAGGAATTGTATTTTGTGTAGCTCCGAAATCAATAATAGTAATAATAATAATACATTTTATTGATATAGGCGCCAATTTTGCAACAGTCCTTCTTGTCACACTCACTCATGACACGTGTTTTAATTTCCTGAGATTAATTTACTGAATGTGAATGAGTTGGTTAATGTTTTTTGGAGTTGGTTATGGTTTTATAGAATTATGTTGCTCCTGGGGTGAAACTTGACCTGAATTAGGATATATTTATTCATTTAACTGTTCGGCAATGTTTCATTTTATTTACATAATGGTCTAAATAAATCTTCACATAGAGCTACAATATCCATAGGTCAAGACCTTTATATATACAGTCTATGGTCAAGACCAATGAACGAAAGAAAAAAAACATAGAAATCAAGTGCACTGATTATGAATACGGTGTGATTCAGGTGTGAAACTCTCAAAAAACATGAAAGGGGACTCGGATCTGGATTATTTGTTAACTGATTTATAGAAGGAATGTACAGGCACTTTGCTTAAATAGTTAACTAGATTAATACATTATTATCATATAAAATAAGCTAGTATTTTCGTATTTTATATAGTTTATTTTTGTATTTTATGTGGTCATTACTTCGATATTGGATTGTTTAAATTACAATGTATCCCGAGAGATAGCAGGTGTATAACAGGTAAGCCTACCTATGGGAAATAAAGACCAGGATATAAGGCGCGCAATATATGCTTCGTTGTTTTTCTCATCGCTTATTTCTGTTATGATCTACTTGTTGACTTCGATGAATTCGGTTTATCTCTTCAACCAATCGAAAAACGATGCGCGTTGCGCGCGAGGTGAATCGGCTTCCTACAATTGGCTGAGGTGTTTTTTTTCCAAAGGGGCGTATTTTTCTAGCCATCTTGACTGAATATTTAGCCCCATCCAAGGAACATTAATTTGATATCTTCGGCATTTTGCTACCTTTAAGTTGGGAACAAGCACCATTTGGAAGGTTTAAAACATAACTATGAAACCGGGTCGAGTTTGTGTGTATGACCGAAGTCACAGCGGAGAAGTGAAGGGCTGAAGATGACGCTGTCGCTCCTGAATTACCGGCTAGCTAAGCTAACGGCTAGCATGTCCGCCTTGGTTGTAGTCTGTCACTAGCTGACATTTGGCTAGGTGCAATTATTCTGTCTGGCACTCGCACTGGAGAGGACGACTTCGTAAGGTAAAGCACTCTGATATTTTCGGCCTTTTCAGCGTTGCTTAGGAAACCTGCCGTTTTGTTAAACGACTTCTAGTGTGTCCTGTCCGACCGAGTAACGTTATCACATCAGCGAGAGATAGTCTTTTTGCAGGGGTCTGGAGTACAAAGCTGCAGCCGAAACGTTGCATATTTGCAGTGACGTGAACTAATGTATACATGCAAGTCATTTTTGAATTCAGGCTCGGTGCATACAGTGCGCCTGCTTTCTGGTTTCTGTTGGCATGTATAATTGGGCTGCTAATCAACTTGCAATCCAAATGTTGTCTGTGCTGTTGTGCGCTTAAAATGGCTGACAGATGTTAGATACTCGGGTTGGTATTTAGCGCTCTTCAACCTAACTACGCACAGCAACAAGGAAAAAAATAGAGGATACTGACATATGATTGGGCTGAGGGAAATGAGGGAGTGATCAGGCACCAGATTGGACCAATGGAGAGACAGCTGAGGTGCATACATGCGAGCAGTGCAACTCACAGTAGTTGTGTTTGTGCAGTAAGAGTACTTGAGGTGTCATACTGAGTTGACCCCTTTTTACCTATTAAATGTTGTGACGAGGATTGATAATGAATCACAACAAGGCTTACAATTACATTGCATTTAGCTGACGCTTTTATCCAAAGCGACTTACAATTAGTGCATTCGACCAAGAAGATACAAACTTGAATCATATAAGTACATCAGGTTTCATAGAGCCAAAACATTTCAAGTGCTACTCAACTAACTTTAGATAACCCTTTATTAGTATGTAAGTGCTTTATTGGTAATTGTATTGCTCGAAGTGGAGTCGAAAGAGATGAGTTTTTAGTCATTAGTCAATAAATGCAAAAATATAAAAGCTCTCTTCAAGGAGTATGATTAATAAGGGTAAGATTTATCATGCATAGGAACACCAAAATAATAACAGATAAACAATCTCGGAGGGCAATTATTACATACGTTTGTAACTATTTTATTAATTCATAAATGATTAATTTGTATTTTTAATTCATCATTAAAAAAAAATTCTCTGTATCTGTCAGGGAGCTGGTGTAAACTCCCATGCGGAAGGTGAGCAGGTGGGAATGTGAGACAGTTGTAAGCGGACTCAAAATGGGTAGGGGCCGAGGCAGAGGGAGAGGAAGGGGCAGGGGATCGTCTGGCCAGCTGCGGCCCCCCTCGCCCTACAGACTGCAGCTCTCTCCATCCAGGGAGACTTTGACGTACGCTCAGGCACAGAAAATAGTGGAAGTGGATCTTGAAGGAAGGCTTCATCGGATTAACATCACAGATCATCTGCCAGTTATTACCGAGGACGAGATGATGGCCCAAGACATTGCTGAGTGCAACAGCAACAAGGAGAACAGTGAACAAACGCAGAGCAAAACCAGATCATGCAGGAAACCTTCAAACTGTAAAAGTAGGAGGAGTGGTAAAAATACATCTCACCAGAACCAACGGTCCGGCTCCCAGCAACACTCAGGACCTACTAACTCCCTCCACCCACCATCTAACCATATCCCTCTGCCCGAGCCCGTCTTTCGTGTGCTGAGTTCCGTTACCCCGTCAGAGGCAGCTCCTCTCCCAACAGCCTACTATCAATACATAGAAAAGTCAATGGAGGAGCAGGACAGTGTGGCTGAGTACGACATGGACGAGGAGGACTTGGCCTGGCTGGAGATGGTTAATCAAAAGAGAGTGTGTGACGGGTATGCCTCTGTATCGGCAGACACTTTTGAGCTGCTGATTGATCGCCTGGAGAGGGAATCCATCCTGGAGTCCCGCAACCAGGCCCTGTCCCAGAGCGCCGTGGACGAGGACGCCTTCTGCTGCGTCTGCCTGGACGACGAATGTCTGAACAGTAATGTCATCCTGTTCTGTGACATCTGTAATCTGGCCGTCCACCAGGAGTGTTACGGTGTGCCCTACGTACCCGAGGGTCAGTGGCTGTGCCGCTGCTGCCTGCAGTCCCCCTCCCGTCCTGTAGACTGTGTGCTCTGTCCCAACCGAGGAGGTGCCTTCAAACAGACAAGTGATGGACGTTGGGCCCATGTTGTCTGCGCCATATGGATCCCGGAGGTGTGCTTTGCCAACACAGTGTTTCTGGAGCCTGTTGAGGGGGTGAAGAACATCCCTACTGCTCGCTGGAAGCTCACCTGCTACCTGTGTAAGCAGAAAGGCCGAGGAGCATCCATCCAGTGCCACAAAGCCAACTGTTACCGAGCCTTTCATGTCACCTGCGCCCAGAAGGCCGGCCTGTTTATGAAGATAGACCCAGTCCGGGAGACTGGGGTCAACGGTACCACCTTCTCTGTGAAGAAAACTGCTTTCTGTGAGCATCACTCTCCGGTGGGGTCCCGACGGGACGGGTCTGGGGACGAATCGGTTGAAGGGAGACTGGTGGGGGGAAGGGGAAATCGGGGTCAGAGGTCCTACACTCAAAGCCCCCCACCAACACCACCAAACAAGAAGGCTACCAAGGGCCAGAAGAAGAAGAATACGAAGGGTCGGTCATCACGCCGCTCAACCGTGCCTGTGCTGCTCGTGCCTCAGATCCCATCTCACAGGTGTGACATTTGCATACTGTTGACATTTACATACCAAGCATGCCTTATTGATTTACTGTTGTTTCTGCTGTGTTACAATATGTATTAGTAGTATTGTTGTAGGTTTGGATCCAGTGCATTAAAAAAGTATTTTATGTATATTTATGAATTGATATTTAAATGGCCTAACCATATCACTGACAGTACTGCTGCACCGTTTTCTTTTATGTAAAACTGTTCCATCTCCACAGGCTGAACAAGATCTGCACAGGAGTGGAAGTCCAGAGGAAGAATCAGTTCATGCAGAGACTTCATAACTACTGGTTGCTGAAACGACAGTCACGAAATGGGATGCCTTTAATACGCCGACTTCATTCCCATCTACAGGCCAACAAGACTGCAGAGCAGGTGAGGAGAGAGATAATGTATTTATGTGTTTAAAACATGAAAAAAATACTCTGATAAAATATAAATAAACTATTATTTAATTTAGGGGTGCTTTCAAGAACTCACTTATTTACTTATTGTACGTTGTTTTGGATAAAAGCGTCAGCTAAATGTAATGTAACTCAACAGGACAATTAGTATCATGACATACAGGGGTAATAATTCAATATAATGCCATGCTGTAAGTAAGGCATTGCATATAGCAATTTTTGTATCTAACTTCGAAAACACCGTTTAAGTATAAGAACACCACCGTCTGGATAAAAAAGTCAGTTGATTGCATATGGATTTATAAGTTAATATATAACTACATTACCAATTTTAATTATCAAATTAACAGTCATTAGATGATCAGACCTTCAGCGAACGAATGAAGTCCTCTGAGTCAGTGGAGTCACTAGGAGCTGAGCACTTCACACCATGTTTGTGTTCTCACACTGAAATTAAAACATAAGCCCAGACATCACACTTGCAATGGCTGATTTAAATACATGGCAGGCTTCCACACAACCCTTCACAGCTCTCTCATATTTGCTGTGGACCTCTCACAGCTGTAGAGGTGTGCAACAATTTATGGATATTTATTTGTAATCTAATGCCAATTTTCTTATAATGGTAGGGAATGACTTGAGCTGCTTAAGGGTCATAAAATGCAGGTTAAACTAAATATTTTCTCTAAACGTATCCGCAGGTTTATAAAATACATCTGTATGACATCGTACATTTTTTATCTGATGTCCCTATGTTAGCTTTTTATACAAACTTAAACTTGTTAACATAAAAATCCTCATTGCATGGATTTAGACTTGAGTGTGCGATGTGATCATTATTATTTTCTTTCTTTCTGGAAACCTAAGGGACTAATTCAATCACTTTTCAAAAGGCGTCTGATACCTTTAGCACACTTTAATCTCATCACTGCTCTCCAACGCAAAGCTGGAAGAAAGATTGATTGTGATGGATTTGAAAGATGAATAAAAGCTTGATGGTTTTGTTTCTTTTGTGTTCAGAGGGAGCCTGATGAGAAGCTGTGTGCTGCAAGAGAGGAGCTACGATACTGGCAAAAGTTGAGGCAAGACCTGGAAAGAGCCAGGCTTCTGGTGGAACTCATCCGCAAGAGAGAGAGGCTAAAGAGAGAACAGGTGCGGTGAACAGGAAGTGTAGACGAGCTATAATTATTTGGGGGTATTTTTTACACCCTTCTGTATTGTCATTAATAAGCACGTATATATCAGAGCTACAGAACTACTCTGCCATTTTGCCATAAAATGTAGCTTTTCAAACGTGAATACTTGCTAATTGTTTCCCATCCATGATTGATGGGACAGTTCAATCTGAAAACCTTGCAACCTTGGAAGTAGTCGCATTTTGTTTTTGTCTATTTTCTAAAATCTTACCATCTATGAATCATGTAAGTGAAATTAAAAGGCGGATGAAGCAATAACGAAAAAGTGCTTGGATGCAGCATTAGTCTCTGCTCTATTCAGCATTTGTTATTAATATGACCCTGTGGAGTAACCTTGGTGTACGCTTCTCTCTGCTGTGTGTTGCGTCATCACTCTTTAGATGAAAATTCAGCAGGCTGCTCTTGAGTTGAAGTTGACCCCTGCGCTGGTGCTTCTGCGATCCACCTTGGAACAACTGCAGGAGAAGGACACGGCAAAAATCTTCTCTCAGCCGGTCAATCAGTCAGAGGTTGGTGCAGTTAGAAAACTACTTAAATACACAATTCATACCAAGCATTGCATCTGTTTTGTCTCCGGCTAACAGTCTTATTCCCATCATCCTCCGAGGTCCCAGATTACCTGGAGTTTGTTTCCCAACCCATGGACTTCTCCATGATGGTTACCAAACTGGAGGGACATGCCTATTGCTCCATCGCGGACCTAGAGAAGGACTTTAACCTCATGATCTCCAACTGCCTCAAGTACAACTCCAAGGACACCATGTTTCACAAGACAGCCTTACAACTCAAGGAGGTGGGCGGTGCTGTTCTCCGTCACGCCCACAGGCAGTCTCAGAGCATCGGCCTGGACCCCAGCACTGGCATGCATCTCCCAGAGTCTCCAAACAAACATGGCTTCTCCAACTGCACCTGGGATGATGGTGAGTTGAGTGTGGAACATGCTAGTTCTTTGCAATAATCACCCTCATGCCTCATCTCTGTGTTTATTTCCTTTGTCTTCTTGTCCTCCCTACAGTGGACTCTCTCTTGGACCCAGACAACAGACTGCACCTGACCACAGAGGAGCAGCTGAAGGCTTTGCTGGACAAACTGGACGTGGTTGCATCCATGCGCACCAGTGGGGGTCGAACCAAACGCATCAGACTGCTGCGGCGAGAGATCAACAGTCTCAGACAGAAGATGAACCAGCCGCAGCAAAACTCTCAGTCTGTAAACGGTAACGACAAGGAGGAGGATGTGAAAGAGGAGGAAGAGGAGGAACAAGAGGAGAAGAAGGAAAAGAAAGAAAAGAAAAAGAAGACAAATGTTAAAAATGGACCTTTGACAGCCGTCTCAAACTCTGCATCAGGTAAAAATGATTTTCATGTCGTTTATCTCTGTTAATGCCTTATTTAAATCGAGCTGCAACTTCATAAGTCCAGTGTGATGTGTTGTTTTGTCCTATCAACAGTTCAAGACCAAATTGTTCATGAATAATTAGGGATGTAACGATACCAAAAACTCACGGTACGATAATATCGCGGTAACAAGTCCACGGTACGGTATTTATCGCGATATTGAATAATAAAGAAGAAAAACATTTTTTTTAAAAGGAATTTTTTTTTTAATTATTTAAAAATGTTTTACTTGGAAAGTGTTCTTTATTAAATAATAAATCTGATTTGTACAGCATTTTAGTAGGATAGCAGTATTTTAAAGTGTCAAAAACAAAGTGATAGACTGGAACAAAAAAACCAGTAAAACTCACTAGTCACTCACTCAGCATCATCAGACAGGTTTTTAGGAATATGAGCATGTCCACATTTCCAGGTAGAAGCTGGGATGTTTGGGCGTTTACAATATCCCCTGCTGTGGAAAAAACTCTCTCGCTTGGTACTGATGTTGCTGTTAACCGAATATTCTTTTTAACAATGACGGAAAAATCTGAAAGCAGTCTGTCATTTTGACAAATTCGGAACAGCGCCAAAGTTTCCCCGCAGCGAGGCTCTGGTGTTATGCCGTGTTATGCATGCCCTCCAATGATGGAAATGATATAGTTTCCAAACCATACTTTGCCGTACAGATCATTGAAATGTCTGGGAGTTTTTGCTTTAAGCTGTGCGCGCTCCCGCGAGGTGCATGCATATCTCGGTGGGCATGCATAACACGGCATAACACCGCCCGCCCCCCCCCCGTTGACAATTCACGAGCGTGCTCTCTCTCTCTCCCCCACCCCCCCGTGTCAGCGCGACACGTTAGTGGCGAGTTCAGACCCGACGGGTAATAAGGGATTATGACGGATATTTTACGATCCTGTCTGTCAAAATGACGGACAGCAAAAAAGTCTAACGCCACCTCAGTGGGACAGAGAGATATGATTTGGCCATGGGTGACAGCAGTGGGTCAAACTGTGCATTGTCTCTCCACCACTTCAAAAACAATACAGTTTTTGCCAAGAAGGTGAGGCTTATTGACAGGGCGAGATATAAATATACTGTTGGTACGTGTCAATGTCTCTAGGTGTGTACATGTAGCCGTGTAAATACGATGTCCTTTTGTGTTCTGTTGTTTTATGTTCACGTTGTAACCTACTTGCTGCCATGTTGGACAGGTCTCTCTTGAAAAAGAGATTGATGATCTCAATGGGACCACCTGGTTAAATAAAGGCTTTTTAAAAAAAAATGTATATCGCGGTATTGGGACTCACGACGGTATTGGGACGTTTATTTATCGCGATATTCGGTATATCGTTACATCCCTATGAATAATACAATAAAATGCACTATATCCTGATATTGCAGAAGCTGCAACCAGAGAAGTCTCGATATTTGAGTTAATAAATTACTTATTACGTAATCGTTTTAGCTGTATTTATGGTTCTTCTATAACATTTGTCTTTGATGCAGATGACTCTCCACCTGTGCTGGAGCTCACCTGCCCAGTGTCCTCACCTCTTCCTGGCGAGGCTCCTCTGGAACCCCCCGTCCTGGGCATCGCCCCTGGAGGGCGGCGGTCTCCTGGGCGCTCCTACAAGCGTCAGAGGTCATCCCGCAGCGGAAGCAAAAGCCAAGGTGAAGACGAGGCTGAAGTTGGTGAAACACCGTCTTCACAAACAGAGGCTGTTCACGAGGTCACTCCGCTGGGAACCCCCCCGACTCAGCCTTTGGTTGGAGTCGGTCGCCGTACGTCTGTTCTGTTCAAAAAAGCTAAGAATGGAGCGCGGATGGTCAAAAACAAGTCTCCGCCTCAACAGAACGGGCAAATATCTGAGGGGAAAACCAACGGGATGGACAGCACCCCGGTCAGCCCAAAACCCCCCAGTGTGACCAACATCACCACCTTACCTCCCACCCCCAACGCCTCCCCCACACCCCCCTCCCCCTCCTCACACCACCTGAGGTCCAGAGGCCCCAGCTCAGAAAGTGATGCTGATAAACTCCCTACACCACCCAGTGAAGAAGGTAAGAACTAAATATTGACTAAATTACAGCTAGGTAATTTAAGACGTCCACTTTTGTCACTAATTCAGTTGTGTTTTGGCCAGGCCTGACAAATGGAAAGCACACCTCTGTGGATCATGATGATGATGATGAAGACCAAAAACTAAAGTGAGTACAGAGCCACACAGGCAGTGGACCCCATGCAAGAACCTCTCAGACTTCTCTTGAATATTCTTGAATCTCACAAATGAGCACCTCGTCATGAACAGATTGCATTTATCACGCTAACATAAGATATTTACAACATGTTTAGTTTTGTGAATCCAACACTCGTCCAAGCAAATCCAAAAAGAGAAAGTTTAAATGTTCAGCACAAAAATTCAAAACATATTATTCTTGCATGAGGCCCATTTGTCTTTGACATCCTTAGCCATTTAAGTCTAGCTATAGTCTCACCATACATTTTTCTAATCATAATTCTCCTCTTGACAGCTGTAGCGTCTCCCCGCCCAAACGAAGTCGTGGAAAACCTGCATTGGCAAAAGTTCCAAGCAGTGAGAACGGAGACATCTGTGGCTCTGGTGTGTGTATAAGGCATGCAACTAAAAACTGTAACCATCTAAGTAGTTTAAAATGCCTCTGCTTTTTGTGTGTTTATTGGATCCTAATGGAAACGCTTTCTATGAGCCATACAGTTTAAAAAAGAAAATAAGATTAAGATGTCCTGAATACAAATGAATTGAATGTATGGGAATATCCTGTTCACAGGACAGTCTACACTTCTGTGTTCAGAAAGTGAGACCGAGCTCGGACCCCTGGACCTAGTTTGGGCCAAATGCAGAGGGTACCCATCATACCCAGCGATGGTGAGGATGTAGTTGTCTTGGAGTTATGGTGCATCAGTCTCAAAGCTGACATAAAGAGAAAAGCCTCCCTGCTTCCTATAGAAGGGCGTGATAATCATGTAACTTAAACTGACATTCATTGTTTCAGATCGTTGACCCAGACATGCCCCAGGAAGGGCTTCTTCACAACGGCATCCCCATTCCAGTGCCTCCCGTGGAGGTGCTCAAACTGGGAGAACTGAGAGAAACAGAAGAAGGGGAAAAGCTCTTCTTGGTGCTTTTCTTTGACACCAAAAGAACTTGGTAAGATTCAGACAAGCCGGCTTAACCTCATACTGAGTTTCAAATCAATCATGAGCAGTCTTGGTCATTTTGTCTCTTCTGCTTTTCAGGCAATGGCTACCTCGGGACAAGCTTCTGCAGATGGGGCTTGACGACACCGTGGACAAGCTGCGATTAATGGAAGGCAAGAAACCCAGTGTTCGCAAATCTGTGCACACTGCGTACGACCGGGCCATGGTACATTTAAATCACATCAGGGGAAATGTTAACTTCACTCCCTCCAATTTTATATAACATTTTAGTTTAAATGCATAGAAGCTTTATCAATGCTATTTGAACAGGTGGGGAAGCTGGTTGTATTTGAAGGTTTTTCCTGCATAGAAGTGATTTATAAAATGGATAGAAAAAGTGCTTGAAGACATTTTCCTAGATGAATTTGTTCATTTATTCCTGTAATTTTTGTAAAAGATTTTACACAACCACTATTGCTATGTGTTCATATAAAGTTTTTATTTTAGGGCAAAGTGAGTCAAGACTAGCTGAAAAAAGTGTAAATATGAAATTGTCAAAGGGATCGTCTTGATTCAAAAACATATTTAGATTGTATTTGCCATTGAAATGTCACTGTGTTTGATGGGGTGTGAAAGTCCCAATTAATGTTCACGTCATATCTGGACTGCAAGTTTGGCTTTGGAAGATAATTCAAAGACATTTCCTTCTGAGTGATCTGCACTCCGTTGAATTACAGACCCTATTCGAGTGTGAACTCATTTAGCGAAATTGCTCGATAGATACAACAAGATGGATGTTAAGAACAATTCGGCTGCCAATTCTTCAACTTGCTGTCCAGCTAAGATGTGTGGTCGGTGGGGCTTAAGAGGTCTTTACTTATTTTTCCATATTGTGAAACTGTGTTATGATACTAGAATGTCGGAGTACCTGGTGCAGCTACTTGGTTAGTGAGATGTGAAGCCACTACAACAGTGAAGCTGGTTATTTTGTGCTCATAACAAAGTCTACTGCGATCACTCACTGGAGAACCTGCAAGTTGTCTGCTAATCTGGCTGAAATGACTTGAAAAGCACAATCGGTTCGTTAAAAAAAAAAAAAGAAGAAAAACGTGTAGGATTGGTGGAGCCATACACTGTATGTGGCATTACAGTGCGTGTGAGAGAGTGTATATACATATATAAATACAACCTCAGTGTAGTAAAGGTGCATGTGTATAGTTTTGTAAATATGTAAATCTATGTTTATATTGGCTTACATGAAGTAATTTAAGGAATGCGAAAATCAAATTTAGATTTTAATTTATAATTTGTGGCAGGAGTGTTATTTAAAAAGTAAAATATTGAAAAGATTTATGTATGATGCTAAGTAGCTCTTTGTAATAGTGATGGTATTCACCAACATGTCAGAATATATTCTGTAGGAGTGAGGAGGCACAGAGCTCTGTAGGCAGCAGTGAACGCACCGTCTACAGCAGGACGTTTTGGATCATGTCACATGAACTGTTCTGCAGGATCTATAATCTGAGACAATATTTTCTCACACAAGAATAAATGCTGTTTGAAACAACTTCCTGTGTGTTGTCTGTTGACTTTTCACATGTTTTGTCCAACATCTTCCTCTAGGTCAAATGATCGTTTCAAGCAGGGTTCGAGTTATAAACTGAGCTCTATGGGGGTCTTTAAAACTAAGGCCTGCACACACACACACACACACAGCAGCCCTCTACTTGCTACAAACTTAAATATGAAAAGGTTCAACTACGCAACGCACACCACATAACACATCATCTCGGTTTGCGCAGCACGCTCACAGGCATAGATTGCGCAATAATATATTGCGCACCTTGGAGGTGCCGTGCAGGTGTTCTTTTGGAAAACATGTTTTTCTTTTTGCCTATTTACCTCGTTAACGTAAATAATACTCATTACATGACACATGCATTATTTGGGATTAAACAACGCAATTACCCCAATTCATGCAAAGTGCACAATGATAAAAAGTTAAAGATGAATTTGTTAGCATTATTTATTACATTTTACAAATTGTATTTAGGTATTGCGCACATTTCGGTGTCAAATTCTTTTTGCCACCATAATCGTAGTGAAATGTGATATCCTGACAGCCTTAGTGTCACATTTTGATAGTCTCAGAAAATATTACAGAAAATCAGACATTACTTACAATGCGATGAAAATGTGTCTTTCTGCTAGGTAATAAATTATGCTTGTTCACAACATCTCTACTTAATCAGGACAAGTATAGATTTGTGCAATCTGGGATTTATTTCATAATACTATAGACGTACTCTTAAGACTTGCATTGACAAGAAAATCCACAAGGATGAGGCTACTGTTTATAAACCATCTTTACAAAACTGTCATCGAAAAAAGTCGCCTGAAGTCACTACATCGAGTGTTGACTGATAATCATTGAATGAGCTCAGTGGCATCTTCTTAGCCAGACTAGATGACAATGAAAACACTAGCTGAAAATAATAACGTTGTCAAGTAACAGGCTGAATCTCCTCCTTGTTTTCTGCACAAAATGTAACATGAATGAAACCTGATCATCTTAAAATTTGAATGACTGGGATATAAAGTTCCATCACTGGGATGTGCAAATCAACAGAGAGCAATTTGCCTGTTCGTAACGCAGCCTGAATGACACATGGAGGCCCATCCCTGTTCTGGAAGCCAGTTGTTGTTTTTCCAGTTTATACTGAGCCCGAAAACATGCCACGCATTCATGCCTTGCATATCCTGTTTTGTTACATTGGGTGCTTTTGTTCCATGAAATAAATCTCTATTACAGAGTTTTCGAAAGGTAGTTTAAGTTGTTTTTACTTCCTCATCTTTACTTACTGTTATTAATAGTTATAACTTGTGAATAGCCTGTCATCTGCGATACATTCACTGTCCGCGAGGGAATTTCTTGTCTTAATGCAGTAATAAAACAATATAAAAACATTTAAATATCATTGCAATTATTTTCTACCACAGTTCAATTTAAAACATACTAATGCTGTTTTGCCCTGACTGTTTCTGATCAAAAGCAGTGGCGCAATGACATGCTTTCTTGTTCAGGTAAAGAAATACTACTATATTGAAAGAGTTCATTCCTTCTTAAATATTGTAAAACGTTTGTAGTGTTTGATTCCAGTAGTCGATGTTTGTCTAGTCCAACATGTTTCAAAAGAGGCTTCGAAAATATCTTGGAACCAGTGTACAAACTATTGTTGAATGAGGCGGAGCGCTGAGAGAGAGAGTCCTATAGAAGAGATAAGAAGCCGTTATCTGTGGAGTCCTGCTGGTCAGATTTACCACCTCGAGAGCTCTTGCTGGGATTCGGGGTGGTTGAATACTTTGGGGGGTATCTGATGAAGAGACGGTCCTCCTCCTTCTTAATCCACCTCAGAAGCTTGGTGATAGCAGTGATAGCACAGGCCTTTGTCACCAGAGGACTGAAGCAGGTGTACAGCTCAAACTTACTGGTGACCTGCGGCAGCGAAGAAAAAAGACAAATTAAGTCACGGTCTGCATTATGAGAATATTTTGACTTTTTTTTTTTTTTTTTTTAAAATACTTTTTACTTTCTTGTTGAATTAAATGAGAAAATATATATAGGTTCTTTAAATATAAAGCTACAACCAGAAGATAACTGAGCTTAGCATAAATGCAAATTACAACAAATCCACATACAAGCAACTTTAAAGCTCTCTAACAGGTTTTATGAGAAAATCAATTATAACCTGCTGTCTCTCATGAGAAATTATCAATAAGATAAATGCTATTTTCAGATGTTTGTATTTTTTTGTTAAGTTTATAAACTGTATTTTCTACACACCTGAAGGAAATCAAGGTATTTATTATTAAAGTGTTATTGTTCAAATTGTATTACCCCAAAAAAAGAAATAGAGTTCAAATATTCATTTTTTCCCCTCTAGTACAGTTCATCAAGAAAATTGCAATATCGTATTGTCTTCCTCTAAAACTATAAAAACGGTTATTTGCAGATGTTAAACCAGCTTTACCAACAATTGTATCAGAATGTGTAAATGATAGCTTTAAGTCAATGAAAGCAATTTGGCTTTGTATTGTATCAGAATAAAACATAATGTAATTGTCCCATTATCGGCCACATAAATATAGTTCATCCCAAATATGTATTAGTGACAGTGTCCAGCCGTGAAAAAGTACAACACCTAACCCCCAGTAAAACCACAACAGCTAATTGTTCCCCTTATTTCCATTTGTTTTTATGCTAAGCTAAGCTAACAGTCTCTTGGCTCCAGCTTCATTTTAAACAGACACATAAGAGTGAAAGTTTTATCTAATCTAATCTTTTTGAAGGAAGCAGATGAACATATCTATGAAAATGTTTCCTTTAGTAATCCTTCAAACACATCTACAGTTCACACCCTCATGTCAACATTAGTGAATATTGGCTAAGACAGTATTTAGAAGATGTATATGGCGACAGTGCTACATACCCAGGCGAGCAGGGTCTCCCTCTCAGCCACGTGGTAGATGAGCTTGAGGGGTCGGGAGGTGCTGTGGATGCGGCTGTGCATATACCGGTAGAGGTCCAGCAGTCTCATCTTCTCCTCTTCACTGCTGTATGGGGCCTCCATCTCTGGGCTACATGCAGCAACACATTGCACAGTAAAGGTTAACAACAAAAAAGCAGTCAAAGCATTACAAATACAAAGACACAGTAAAATACAACGGCTATTTTTTCTATCGCTAAAATAATTGAATCTTAAACCTGGTGAGATACACTTGCAGTCTAAAAAAACTGTCCTTTAGTTCTTAAGTATTATTAATATGTGAATGATTTTCCTTCTATTATCAAGGTTTAATTGGCTTTTTCTATTTAACACCTACTAATTTAAATTAATCTCATTAGGGAGATAAGTAGAGTGAATTGGCCTGATTAGTAGAACCGTCTGAATTTCCATTTTCCTAGATTTTCGAAAAGGACACTTTCATTTTTAACGTCTAACCACACTAAGTTGTATTCATTTTCTTGGTTGAAAAATCACAGACACATTCAATCATAAAAAGACAAATTAATTGATTTGTAAAACATAATGCACCAGTTTAGAATAGTGTATGTCCCCACTGTAGTTGCATAGATAATAATAGTGAAACACACCCACACCCACACCCACACCCACACCCACACCCACACCCACACCCACACCCACACCCACACCCACACCCACACCCACACACACCTGGTGAACTGAGTGAGCTGCTGGTAGGTGTCTGGCACGTCAAAGGGCTTGTACATGAAGTGTCTGAGGTCTGAGACGCCCACCTGGCTCACGCTGTACGACTGGACTTTGGCAATGAGGCTCAGAGAGTTCTGCGCCATCATGGCCTCCTCTATCTTCCTCTTGCACTCAGCTACAGCGTAGAAAGCCTCCTTGTCTGTCGAGAGCAGCAGCAAGCAAACAGTGCATTCCGGAGGGTCCAGGTAAGAAATGTATGCATAAAAGTAACAGTCAGGATTAAAGAGGGGGAGGCAGATGGGAGTCCAGATCTCCCCAGCCTGAAAGGCAGAGGAGGCTCCGATGAGGTTGAGCAGGAGATGGATGTCAGCGGGCTCCAACCTGGAGTCCTCGATGACTGTCTTTTCTTGGACGATGGTGAGCAGCTGGTTGTTGGCGATGAGGATGGAGAAAACCAGATTTGGGGTGATGGCTTTCTGCAGTATCTGGCTGATATTGTCCCTGAGAGAGGAGGCCAAGGGTAAGCACTGTACAGCTACCAGCAGGAAGCTAGGGTCAGAGTCCACCAGGTTGAGAAGACCGTCCAGAATCTTCTCTGAGCCCGCCAGAAGTCTCCTCAGGTCGTAGTTCTTCTTGTGTTCAAAGATGCGAGATATGCTGGCTTGTGTGAGCATGCTGATGATCTGATAGTAGACATAGAGGAGCTCTCCACGCAGCTGCTTCTCCGTCTGACGACTGCTGGAGACACACACCAGCACCAGAGGCCCTTTCTGTAAAAACACCACGGTGTGCCCATCTGATGCACGAGGAAAAAAGACATCACCAAGCGTTAATGTCAGTACTGGTAAATTCTACAAACAAATATGATAGTTGTGTATTGTTGTATTTATCTCATGGAACAGTTTTAGTATAATAATAATAATAATAGGAAGTGTGTCTTTTGTGGGCTTTTACACACACACACACACACACACACACACACACACACACACACACACACACACACACACACACACACACACACACACACACACACACACACACACACACACACACACACACACACACACACACACACACACACACACACACACACACACACACACACACACACACACACACACACACACACACACACACACACACACACACACACACCACACACAACGACACACACACACACACACACACACACACACACACACACACACACACACACACCACACACACACACACACCACACACACACACACACACACAACACACACACACACACAACACACACACACACACACACACACACACACACACACACACACACACACACACACACACACACACACACACACACACACACACACACACACACAATTACATTTTATGTTGTTTTAACTGTGCATGCATATTCATATTGCAACCGTGTAGATGTCTTTTAAGAATGCATTGTAAACAAAAAAACACATGTCTAAAATTAAAGATATTGGACATGTTGTGGACTTGTGTAAATAGTAGTATAAACTTCCAAAATAAATTGCTGTGCTACTTACAAAATGAATGTAAAATAGTTGATTAAATGTGTAGTTGATATTAACGTCTCCATGCTCATGTCATGATTATTTTTTTGGTAATAATTTCTTGTCCACTTTGGCAAGCTAGAGTCACTGCGACTGCTCTTGGTACCCACTTCCTCTGAAAAATGGTTACACTTGCTTTAATGAATACAAATAGAAAATTGCATCTATAACAAAGTTGCAAATGTTATATGAAAGAAAACAAAAAATGCTCTCACCTGAATAGATTGAGCGGATGATATTATCTCCACTTTGCACAAAGGAAACCAGCGCCATCATGACTCCCATTGTAGAAGAAAGAGCCTCTTCACTGCCGTAACGGGAATATATGGGTTTGCCTGCTTCACTCAGAACAAAAACATGCTTCCTGTGCTGCCTCCAGCTGTCAGCTGTCACATCCTCATCACGATGAGACATAAAAGCAGGAGGCTCCTGGGTTTCTGCCTCCAATAAGGGAGAAGACCCTCCCTTCACGCCTAGTCCTTGCTCCTCCAGCTTGGCCTTGGCCAGCATTGTGACGACAAACTCCCCAGAGTCGCTCCGCTCATTGTCCGTGGCAGTATCCTCATTTTCTATGTCCAACTGCTGGGAGGACACATTGTTCTGACACTCAGAGCTTTCGGTCTCTTCAGTCTCTAGCGGTGTTACCTGGTGAGAGTGGGGCTCTCCATCCAGACTCTCCTCCTCAGCTGTAACGTCTGACAGTGAATCTGCAGGCTCCTCTTTAACAGCGCTCCTGTGTTTTGTCTCCAACGGATAAGGAAACATGTGATTCCCCAAGAGGGAGAGAGAAGTCGCCAAAGTGTCAGCTAAAATAAAACAACAACAATTAGTTTATGTCATGAATGATAAAGACATGGCAGCTTAAAATGTGAATAGCTTGAAACAATAATTTACCAGGTGGATTGCTCTCACAGGGCGGATCACAAATCTTCACTCCCTCTGTCTCTCCTACTTGATGATTGTCTCTCTCCATGATACCATCCCAGTCACTGGAGATTTAAAATAAATTACAATATTATTATTATGTATTATATTACAACAAAACAATTCGAAATGAACAGCAGTATAGCTAACTTATGTATAAAGGTGGTTGTAGCTAAAGCATGCATGCACATCTCAATCTCTTATGAATAGGAGCAGTCATACTGGAGCAGTGGTCAGGTCACATGATAACAGAAAAAATGGTTACAACTCCAAGATACCAAACAGACTTACATTTTACACTGATTTAATCTCCTAGCAGCCTGGCTAATGTGACACTGCAGACACACGGCAGTCGGTTAAAAGGACGGGGAGTACCGGTAATTGGTGTTTGACCGCCAGAACTAGAGAACAGACGTTTCTTAGTGTACGAACTCCTTCACAATCAAGAAAGCCTACCTTAACATTCTGATAAATATGTCACTGTATATTCCGATGCAACTAATGAAATGTTGCTGTCTGCACTCTGCAGTTACATGGCTAACACTGCTTGCTAGCAAGCGACACTCACAGATCAATTTCATGGCCTCGGCTTAACAATCAGCATGCCAGTAATCGTGATCAGCTCAAATCAGACAGATAAAGGAAAAGAAAGATACTTACGATTTTGAGCCGTCCAAACGTTGAGTTGAATATTTAATTCACTACATCAACTTTCATCAACAGCCCGGCTCCAAACAAGCTGTCAGGAATGAGAAGCAGAAAACAAATGTTCCTCTTACGACAGCAGACATCCGGAATCTCTGATGACAAGCTAATCTGACCAATCAGGCTGCTCTGCGGCGGGTTTAGCCCCGCCCCCTCACGCTGTGTTCCTTATGCACTGCGTATGAGAGCAATGTACGTTGTAGCCTTTATACATACAGTACAGTCTATGGTTGTAGCTGGATGCGCGTAATATTTAAAGTTTATACTTTATACATTTAAAACAGGAATCCCATCTTGCTATTTCAGCATTAGCCACATTGTGCCATCAGCGCTCCCTACGAGTATGTGATCAGCAGTGTTCCCTACCAACATCTTAGAGAGATAAACATTTGTTTGTATTATACATCTGTGGGTTTGAACTCTAGCAATATTTTTTACAATAAACATACAGTCTCCTGTATGTCCGGATCGATACAATACTTTCACGTGCAACAGTAAGGGTTACTTGATACCCTTACTTATGTGACCTGCAATGTGCAATATACACAATAATCACTTGTTATGTGAACAAAATATTTTTTTAGAAATGTCCCAACCTTTTTAATAATGTCTCAACACCTTAATATGTTATGTCCCTTCGTTTTTTAAATTGGTAGGCTACTAATTTTAACTTGTTTTATTCTATTACTAACGTGTGTTTTTCTTCTCTATATTAAGTTAGCTAACACACTTATTATCGCATGCCTTTTTTAACTGCTCTTCGACTTTTGCTGCAACACTGTAAATATCCCCGTTTAAAGGAATTATAATTCTGATTCTGAAATTAGTGGTTAAGCAAACTCTATGGTAGTGCTGGGCTCACAAATGTGACTACGAGCTAAGTAAACTCACATTTATGCTGGTTTTAGCATTACATTTAATTTGAAACACATACTAAACAGCCGGACGTGCTGTAGACATATACATGCTCCAGTATAATATTTATTAAATGCAAAGTTGGCTAGAGAAGACACCGTTTATTTGAACGATGTATGTTGTTGTAAGCTAGCAGGGCTAAACTACGTAACATCAGTCTATGAACGTAACCTACGTCATATCCGATTCTCCAATCCTCGCCACTGACACAAACAACGTAACGGTAGGGACAGGGAAGAGATGGCGACCAGTATGTCAAACGCTAACGTTACCTAGCCAAGGTGATGTTTTTTAAACTACCCATCAGATAAAGAGTTTACCTTGTTGATTTCACATAAGCTAAATAACCGGACACTATGGAGGAACCGTGGGACTTTGAGTTTCTGTCCCGCATCGCTGACAGCTGCTTGTCGTTCCTCTCAGAATTTGTTGACGACTGGCTCGCCAACGATATGAGAGTTTGCATATTCAAAATCCTACTCAGCTGGCTAATTGTAAGTCTTATCGCCATTCACTTTGCCTGGAAAGTGTACGGAAATACAGTCAACGACATGTATTATCGGCAAGGTACGTTTTCTTTGAGCGTATCTGTATCAGTTGCTAAACTAGCGCTAGCCAGGTTGGCTTCATCTCTGGTGTGTTTGTGTTGATTTTTAGGGACTGGACAGAATGGAGGCACTCCTGAAACAGCATCTCATCTGAGTGGATGGTAGGTGTCCGAGCATCCGTGTCGCTACACACAGGTAGATGATCCTCCTCACACTATAGTATCTGCTGCTCTAAAGCTTCAGTTTATATAGAACTGAGCATCAGTGCAACAGTTACGATCTTTGCTCTTTATTATTATTGAATACCTAATAATTAAGGGATATATATTTCCTAGTTAAAAATGTTGAAAGGATAAAGTGTAATCTAAACGTAATACATTATTGCCAACAGATCACTAATAGGGGTGGGGGAAAAAGTGTATAAGAGCCTGAGGTCTTTTATCATACTTTTTTGATTTAGCAAAAGCATTATGTTGTTCTTGCAGGGAAGGCAAAGCAGGAGATACCCTAAAGACTCATCGCGATTAACAAGACATGGGTGTCGGACCTTTTCCAAGTGAGAGCTGGACTCCTGTAATGAGACATTAAATGCACCCTCAGACTTTGCTTCAATGCATTCAAGATGCATGCACATTCTGGCAACTGCCCGAAGAAACATCTGCTATGCATACCAACAGTGTCACACTGATATCCACTGTATCAACTACATAGTGCTCTGAGTTGTTTATTTATTTTTCAAGAGGCTTCAGTACAAATGGGTCCTACAATGATGGGATTGTGTGTGAATTGAGGTGCTTTAAGAACACGGACACGGTGGCACACACTTACCGCAGAGCAAATTAACACTGTTTCTCATTACCTGAGAGGAACATTGTGTGAACCTAATGTGAGATACAGAGTGCCTGATTAGAGTATTTACCCCTCTTTGACTTTTTCCATGTCATTTATTAAACATTGAACACTCAGCCAACTCCTGTGCCAAAATAAAACAACAAATCAGATACAACGGATCAAAATTAGATTCTGATATTAAATACTTTGACTGTTTTGTTAAGAAATGCAGCATTGTACTGCACTTCACCAGTTTTAGTATAACATCTGCAGCAGGAAAAACATACGTGAGATCTGGGCTGTGCCAGCCGCCACGAAGCATTGCAGCACGTTGTATCGATGTTTCTGTACAGGAGGCCCTAGTGGCTTATGATGGGAGAGGCTCAGCTGAATGAACCACAATACAGGAAAAGTCCTGAAGGAAAAACTGCTGCATTTAGCTTGAAAACAAAGCCAAAATGGCTTTAAACAACAATGTTTAAGTTCTTTAGTGATCAGTTCAGAGTCCACACCTCAGTCCAGATTAGATAATAATTTGGTCATCAGATTTCCAAAACTGAAAGAAATCTATCCATAATTAGTAGATTCAAAGCCATAATTGCTGCCAAAGGTGCTTCCTTTACCTGAGGATTAAAACATTTTCCTATGTGATCAACCATTTAGAAAAAAAATTATGTTAAGTGGCAAAAAGATTAGTTAAATCCACTTGGGATTTAATGTAAAATAATAAAACATGAGAAATTCAAAGGGGAGTTGAATACTTTCACAGTGCATTGAATGAGCCATCTTACCATCAGCTATTATAACTGATGTTATAATACTGTTATAATGGTGAAGATAAGACAATGTACTGCAGTGTGTATTTACAGAAATGTTTAATGATGTGCATAGTCCTAGTCAAAGGAACTAAACTACAAAATCATCAGCATATTTGAGATAACTTGAAGTTCCTGAGAAGAAAATACAACTGTGCAAGTTTTATGTAAATGCTTGGTTGATATTAAATGTGTTGTTTTTGAAAATACTGACGTCATTGCAACTCTCATTTAACGTTTTGTATACACTCTGTGGCCGTTAAAATGTAAACAGCAATACTAGTTTTGCCTTCAGGTAGATAATACTAATAATAACTAACTAATAGTTTCACAAGTAAAATATCTAAGTTGACTTGGAAGAAACAGATACTACAAAGCCAAGCCAGATAGACTAGTAAATTACTTTATTTATTTGATGTATTCCCTAGAACTAGATCCTCTTATTTTGTGAGCTTTATCCTATGTTAATAGGGATTGGTGGAATTAGCAGCATGTGCACATCCATCACATTGGTGCAGGTTAAGCCAGGTACAAGTAAGCGCTGCCCAGCAGAAAGACGTGAAAAAAACGTGTAAGAATCATTGTTGGTGAGGAAGTTGTTGACGTCCAGCGCCTGTGCTTGTGCCTCTTCGTACAACCCCCCGTCCGTGATGGCCCCCGCTGCATCAGTGGGTCCATCCTGACCATCAGTTCCACCGCTCAGGAAGACGGGGCCGGTAGGCGGGAGCTGCATGCCTCTCAGCTCCAGTCCCACTCGCAGAGCCAGCTCCTGGTTACGACCACCTCGACCCTTGCCTGTCAGCTCCACGGTGGGCTCACCTCCGGCTAACAGACACGTGGATCCCCATCCTTCTGTACGTCCTTCACCCAGAACCTGCATGGTACGGCAGAGGTCCCAGCTCTCCACTCCAACTTCAGGCCCCAGCTTCAGCAGCTCAGCAGCAATCTCTGGAGGAGGTTCCTCTCGAGAACATGCAAAGCGGGCCAGAAGGCCGTAGAGTTTGGAGACTGCCCTCACATCACCACACACTCCTGGTGCCAGCACAAGAGGGCGGAAACCTAACTCTAGAGCACGGCGACCTGCCGACTTGAGGGCAATGCTGTTGGATCCAATGACAGTGTTGAGAACACGCCCCGATCTGCTGGATTCATTTGTTTTATGGCTCCTACTTGGACTTGGTCTCTCAAGGACCTCCTTTACTGAGGCTGGAAGCGAGTTCAACAGCTTGTAATGTTCAAGGACTGATAAAACTTCTTCAGGCCACACCTCACTTGGTACTGTGGGGCCGCTGGCAATGAAGTCCAGAGGGTCCCCTATAACATCTGACAGTATCAGTGAAACTACCTGTGAAGAAGTAATTAGAGAAGTGATGTTTAAAGTGGAGAATGAGTTCCGTATGATAAAAAGTGGATTAAAGAAAGGTGTATTACCTGGGCAGGGTGAGCATAATGCGCAAGTCTTCCACCCTTCAACAAAGACAGGGCGCGTCGCACAGTGTTCAGCTCTTGAATAGTGGCACCAGCACCTGCAAGTTTGCGGGTAACATCCTGTTTCTCTTGCAACGAGATTGGTGGGATGGGTGCAGGTAATAGCGCTGAACCTCCACCTAGACACAGTTTTGACACTTTGCATCAGTGATTTACATTACAAGGTCTCATTTTGTAAAGAAAAAGCAACTAAAATATCTAATTCTTGCCTGATATCAGTACAAGTAGCAGGTCTTCCTCCGTCAGTTCACTGGCTAATTGCTTGATTACTTCAGCGGCCTTCTGGGCATCAGTATCAGGCAAGTTGTGTTTAGCTCCCTCCATGACTCTGATGCGACTGTTTTCTTTTAACAACAGGTGGCTGGGATAGAAGGGATACATTTTAATATTCTGATTACTCCTATTTTTGTAGAATCGTTGTTATTTACATCCTATGGTTTTTGCTTACTCTTTTCCGTTCTGCTGCAATGTCTGCTGAATCCCATGTGGCACGCTTACTACTCCTTTGACTAAATGATCCCCCAAAATCCTCTCTGCCTCTGCAGCCATACCCAGTACAGCTTTTCCGAAGCCCACCAAATGCAGGTTGTGTTTGAGTGTAAATGTGTGACCATTGATAATGACCGAGTCCTGCTTGCGCTCTATACTCTGTCGGACCACTGTGTCTGGCTGCACAGCTTCCACTGCAGCTGCAAACACCATGCGTGCCCTGGAGTCCATTGACATTTTGCACAACGCAGGTTTTCGCCTGCCCACGTGAACCCGAAAAGGCTGATGCCGAAACAGGGAAAGAACACGGGCCATGGAGAGTTCACTTACTCTGAGCAGTAATTGCCTATGGAAATAAAAAAATAACAGTTACAAAGACGGTTCCCACAAAATATTTTATTTTAAAATGCCACATAGAATTTAGCAATGTGCAGAGAGGGAAATGTCAGATATTTAGTTTTTCACAACAAAAAAAATTGTGGCCACTTTTAACTCAAGTAAATATTGAAAATAACAGGGCAATTGTTTATTTACAGTGAACCTGCTGAGTTTTCAACATTGTGCACCCTAACCCATAGAACTACTATTTCTGCAGTTATAACTGGAATAATTGGCTCAGAACTCAACAGTAAAGTAATACATTTAAGGCGAGTGGTCACTTACAAATTGAAATATCATGTTGCAGAGTCCACTGACTTCTGGCTTTATTAAATATTACCCATGGTTAAATCTAAAGAATTCATGATAAGTGTGGTACCTATTCTACTCACATACATGTATCATTTATTTATGTGTTGCTTGTCAGCTTACTAAAAGGCTGAAAATAAGGTTTTCAGAACCTTCAAACAAAACCCTACATAGATAATAGCTGTTATCATCATAAGCCAGTAACACATTTCCCGGAATAAGCTTTCCAAAGATTCATGAGACGGCCTACCTGCAAAGGTTGTAAATGGGATATAAAGCCTGTGGATTTCTGTTGAAGCCTGTATTGTAGACTCCAGCTCAGCAGTCAGGCAGCGTACGGAAATATGACCAGAGACTTACTGGAGTTGTTTACCCTGTGGGTAATGATTGACTTAATAGACCACAGGACCCATCAGACCCCTGACCACCCAGCTGTGCATCAGTCCCTGTAGTTGTTTATTTCTGTCCCTCAGGACCAGGCGAACGAGAAAGAGTAGTATCTCACTGAGTAGACTTTGGAGCCATTCATACTAGTTCAAAGATTACAAAACCTACAGTATAACTAGTTTGCACTGAATTCATGTTCATGCTGGTGACAAGTCTTGTTGTCTCTAAGTTTGCCAGGAATTGTTTTTTGACATAACGTATATTATAACTGATTGTATCAATATACCCTACAGGCACAATTGGTAAAGTCACAAATAAGCATATTAAATACATGTGTTAGTGTAGTTTATTATAGGCCATGACAAATTATTTATCCCTTAAGAAAAACACACACACACAGTGACTCGCACTGATTGAACCATAGACTGTGTAACCGATTAACCACAAGATGCTCTTTAGTATTTAATGAATGCACTACTAATTCAACAAACTACGTATGTCATTGTATGAGATAAGAGTACAATAAATAAAATACAATTCCCTTATGGGTCACAGATGTTGGTGAAAGAGAACTGAACCTGAGGAGTTCTCGAGCACGAGTTTGTACGTTACCATGATCGCCGTCGACATTTTACACTGTCCCATGTTGTTGTTTTTTAGGAACCTCTAATATATCTATGCACCTGTGTAAATCTTCGCACTTTTGACATTATGACAAATACACGGGCTGCTAACGGATAAGGTAAAATGGATTCCTACCTCACAATGTCTTGTTTGTGAGAACAAATCCCCTGGTGTTGTTTTCTTCCTCACTTCTCCTGTGTCCATTTCGCTACCAAGGGCAAAACCTAGAAGTTGATAGAAAAGAGAACAGACAATAAACTCTGTTTTAGAGCAGGCAAACAAAATTGGCCGAAAGTGCTGGACCAGACTGTTGACACAACACAGACCTTATACGTCCATTCACCAGACAGGCAAAGAGAGGAATAAACTGTAAGATATAATTGTATTCTTAATTGGCTGTGTGAGCAAGTTATTGTCACTTTATTCGGGTTCTTTCATGGCTACTTTATGGAGGAATTTACGGAACATGGATTATTTTTTAGGTCTTCATAATGCAACTATCGCGATATCTATCGTAGTTTCCGGACAATGCGCGCGTCAGGTGATGCGCGTCCCCGACGTGTGGAATGAAGGCGGTGCGTCTTTTCCCTCCCTCCTATTCCGAGGATCACCAGTATTACAGGCGGGCTTTTGTAGTTGTTTTTGAACTATTATACTTGTAAAAATAACTGTTAGCGCCATTGCAGTTCACATATATATATCCGAATTCTAATAACTGACAATCGTAAACCGATTTACAGTAGAACGAGGGCCTGCTTCCTCTCAGCAGTAGAGGCCATCATGAAGCTGACGGACAATGTGCTGCGGAGCTTCAGGGTGGCTAAGGTGTTCCGAGAAAACTCAGACAAAATTAATTGTTTCGACTTCAGTTCAAACGGAGAAACGATTATTTCCAGCAGCGACGACGATTCCCTAGTCTTGTACGACTGCCAAGAGGGAAAGTAAGAGCCGTTTCTCTTTATTTTTGCTCTATTGTTTTTGACGTGAGGTACATGCTAAGCTAGCTAGCTAGCGGGCCTGGTACGATAATGCTCCGCAGCGATGTTGTGAAGACAACATGTTAAATGTCTGTATTTGCATGCAGTTTGAAATCCTAAATTGATTCTGATCGGTAACCTATTTATTAGGGTTATTATTTAGTTAATATTTATATGATATCAAGCCATCGTATTGTTGAAAAAGGCTACGAATTAATTTTTAAATTACGTGCCGTTACGTTGCATAGAGTAGCAATCTTGACCCGTTTGAGTTTATTGCAATCCCTATTGGTTGATATGGGCTGCTTCTAACATATTATTTACTTACACGAATTATCAGTTAAATTGAGTAATGAGCTTAATATTTCTGAATCAATGAGTTGATGCCCAGAAAAATAAATTGACACCCACATTTGGAGCTTTACTTATCTATTAGTATTTACAATAATCATTAAGTGGGGTCAAGAATGTTGATCAGCAGTCCAAAAAAAACGACTGTCTTTGAATTTGGGCTGGAACTTTGATGTGCTGCATCTGCAAGGATTCATTTAATACCAGTCAATGATCTAATGCTTTCTTTTTTACTCTCATCTCTGATTTATGGCAGACCCAAGAGGACCCTCTACAGCAAAAAATATGGAGTGGATTTGATCAGATACACACATGCTGCAAACACTGTGGTCTACAGTTCCAACAAAATTGATGGTATGTTGATGCTCAAGCCTCGAGGACTTGTTTGTAGTTTTTGTAGCATGAGTATCTGTTATGTTGTGTCATGTGATATTGTTGCTGTAATTGAAGAATGCCAAACGTTTCTGTTTTGCAAATACTAAATGAATTATTGTACTCTAGTTATAATGTGAAATGTGTGTTCATAACTACTGGGGAAACTGTTTTGTTGACTACACCGGAAATGTTGTTTTTGAAAAGCTAACCATCATGAAATGCTGATTAAAACAGAGTATTGTGTTGCATAAAACATTTTGGAAATGATCATGTCTTTCCTATTCGAATACATTTGACTTTTGGACCTATCATCGCTCTGCGGTTATTGCAAACAACCACCCGCGTGCCACCCTACTCACTTTGGTCTGAGGTAGTTGTTTGTACAGTTTGAGGGTCTGTGATTCTGCCCCATACAGGAGCTAACTGTACAACTGACTGCCTTGCCCACGGTTGAGTCTACTCATCATCCTCAGAGCCTGTAACCCACTTCCTGTTTGGATCACGGCCTAATTGTTGCGGCTGTTGGTCAAGTTGGATGTTTGCATTGTCATTTTTAACTTGTGTTAATATTTGTTAAGATACAATCCGGTACCTGTCCCTTCATGACAACAAATACATCCGCTACTTTCCTGGGCATAACAAAAGGTGAGGACTAGATTTACAAAGATGTGTTGAATTGATGTTAGGAGTTTGAATTTCCTCTTTTCTCACGTGTTTCTCTTTTCTTGTGTGTAACCAGAGTGACCTCGCTCTCCATGTCTCCTGTGGACGACACATTTATTTCTGGTTCGTTAGATAAAACAATCAGACTGTGGGATTTGCGGTCACCTAACTGCCAGGTGAGAATCTTTTTATTGTAGCATCCACCCTGTTCAACTAATATGTAATATTAAATTGTTTAGGCTGGAAAAAGTTGATATTGACCTGCTCTTTTCATCTTTTAATTTCAGGGCCTGATGCACCTCCAGGGGAAGCCAGTGTGCTCGTTTGATCCAGAGGGTCTTATTTTTGCTGCCGGAATAAATTCAGAGATGGTTAAACTTTATGATCTGCGGTCGTTTGACAAGGTAAGAAGTGTTTGTGTGACAGAGACTTACCATAATGTAATACTTGATATTTAGCTTTATTTTTAAAGGAGCTAAACATATTTATGATATCTCTTGTCCACAGGGTCCTTTTGCAACCTTCAAGCTTCAGTATGACCGAACGTGCGAGTGGACGGGACTCAAATTTAGCAATGACGGGAAACTCATTCTTCTTTCTACAAATGGTGGAGCTCTTCGTGTCTTAGATGCTTTTAAGGGTGCTATTATACATTCCTTTGGGGTAAGACACATCTCATTGATACACATAGTGTCTGAAAACACTTACCACTTAAAAGTAAAAAAAAAATGTAAACAGAATCCACATCTCAATCACACACTTGCACAGTGTGTCTGTTTTTAAATTCAAAGCATCTGGAAAACCCTCACATGGTCAATCACATACATTACTGACCGTTTATGTTTTTAAGAAATGATGAGGATCATTAAACTTCCTACCAGTTGTTTGCTGTTCTGATGTGCACATAATCATTTCTAATAGATGAATGTTCGTTCACCCACAGGGCTACAACAACAATAAATGTGTAGCGCTGGAGGCATCGTTCACGCCGGATTCTCAGTTTGTAATGATTGGTAAGTTCCCCATTTCCTCTGGACAAGGTCAAATAGCATTATAACAATCATAAAAAGCCTCAGGAGAGGAAAGTACCCCAAAGAAATACTGTGGGCTGTGGTCACGTTTTCATAAAATATATTTTTCTTTTGTTCATATATATTTTTAGGCTCTGAGGACGGAAAGATCCACGTGTGGAATGCAGAGAGCGGCATGAAGGTGGCTTTATTAGACGGGAAGCACACGGGGCCCATCACCTGCCTGCAGTTCAACCCAAAGTTCATGACGTTTGCAAGTGCCTGCTCCAACATGGTGAGTGAGTGTGGAGGAAAGAGTGTAACTGTTGAAGATTCCAGAACCTTTGTAGATGCAATACATGGAGAATGTAGTCAATATAAAATGGTGTCACTACACTGAGCATCTCATGGACTTAATCATCTTGTTCTTAGTAACATTAATATAAAATGTACTTATGTTTTGTAACATCCTTAAAGCTCATAATTACTGTTGTGTACATAAAACAAATGTATTCAGTACTATATAATGTTTGCTTTCACCTTTTTATTTTGTAACTGTCACTTTATCATTCTCTTTCAATTTGAATAGTGTCATTTTATCCTTGTGTCATTTAAAATGATTTCATCTTTTTACGATTAGTACTCCCACCGGCAACTGGTGCTTTCATTACCGCTGACCCTCTGAACCTACATATGACTAATAAAACTTGACCTCCAAACTAAATCTGTACACGCGTGATAGAACTGTGTGACTTTGAGAGCGTCATGACTTTCAATCTTTGTCTCAGGAAAATGGAGAGAGCTAAATACTTTTTTGGAAAACTGAGAAACCTCGTATTTTTTGATTCGCCACATAAAATCACCAGCAAACACAAAGCGGTTCTGATGTGACGATACATTTTAAAAACGTTTTCTTCTTTCAGGCGTTCTGGCTCCCGACCATCGATGACTGATGAAGGCAAAGTGAAGGCTTCTGTTGGAGGCCAGAGACCGAGCGAGCAGCAGGGGTCAGCACAGCCAGCACGGTGTACATTTCACAGGAAGTGCTGTCTGTTCAATACAATTTGTAAATAAGTTCACAGAAATAGATCAGTTGTCTATTCTTTTTTTTATATTTTATATTTAACATTAAACTGTTTCTTTGTAAGATTTTGGGTTTGTCTTTTTCATTGCTGTGTTGTTGTTGTTGTGGTGTGTGTGTTACACAGGTCAGAGAGAGTCCAGTGTTACCAGAAGTAATTGATCTTATTGAGCCACTGACTCAAAGAAAAGAAAATGTAATTAAATATGTTTTGTATTTTTGTCCTGATTCACTTTGGTATCGGTTTAGATAGTCAGATTAAAAAAAAAAAAAATGGTTGACACATGAACAGGAAATAGTGAATTACTATAAATGTCGATGCTATTTAAATTACAATCTTACAACACTTTTGAAAAGTACATATTGTTTTTTCTTTCGTAAAATATTTATTCAAGCATTAAATCTGTTTGTTTGATAAGTCTTATGAGTTCCAGTTGTGAGATTACTTTTTTTTCAGCTTGAGTTCACAGTTAATGTGTATAGCCTTATTTTTCTAGGAGTTACTAGGAAGTTAGTTTTAGATTTGTGGATCAGAGATTGTAAAAAACTGTCACCATGTTCACATGATTTACACCGGAAAAACATCTTACACAATCTGTTGACTATCAAGGTTGCTATGCGTATAGTAAACTGAGATTGACAAAGGTAAATATGTTGGGTAAACTTTCCAAAACAGTATGCTCCTCTTGAAATAAAACCAAGCATCTCCTCTTTTAGATGTTTTCCTTCTCATCCTAAATCATTGTGATTTCTAAATCATAAACCACAGAAAGCCTCCGACATAACACGTACTGTGGGGGAAACTTCTGTGTAGCAATGCCGGAGTCACCGACTCAGGAAGGAGACACGGGGAAAGCTGGAGCTTTGATGTCAAACACTGATGGTTTATTTAGGAGCTTCGGCCGGAGAATTCACAAAACAAGAGCTAGAGGATCTGACTTCACGGTAGAGTTGCCAGGTAAATTCTGAAGAACTCTACCCCAGACCCATGTATTTAGCTAGTTCAGAGAGAATCATCAACATTGTGTGCATAACAAGATAGAATCATAACACCTCTATCAGCTGACGCCAACAGGCAGGAACAGGGAGACAAAACACTGAGCACAGCAGCCAAGGTTACAGGTGCGTGTGCTCAGTCAGGTCAGAACTGATAAACTGGGTCAAAGTTATGGGCCTTGGGAAATATTTCCCCAACAAGTACTATCTTACCAAACACTTGCTCGTGATAATACTTCTTGGCACGGAGGTAATTAGGTCTGCAGGTCAAAGTGACTTCCTACAGGTCCTGCTGAGTGGGGGATGGGTGTGAGTGTCACAGACTAGGACCCGGGGCTGGACACTCAGTCATTGGGAGCTAAATTTGGGAGAGAGGTGATCAGGTTCCAGGTCTGTGCACATGATACCGTCCTACTTACTTGAGCGATGCCCCTTCTCACACAAACACACTCTCAACAAGAGCAGACACACTCGGCGAACCTCTTTTTCAGAACGGAATTTAGTCTGATCATCTGAAGTAAATAACTTTTTTTAACAGGCTTCCCTTTTTGGAGTTCAGTGTCTCTTGACTGGACTGAATATTTGGGCCTGGTGCTGTGGAGCTCCAGTCCTTTGAGTTGCTTTTTCCTCACCCGTCTTTCAACACCCGTACTCTAGTGCTTGGTGGGAGGAAGACACCGCTGACCCGAGATGTTCCTCGCACTAGTGGTGACGCCAGAGCTGAGGGAGTTTCTGACCAGAGCGAGAGGTGGAGCACTCCGCCTCCTCAAGGTGTGCATCCAAGACGGTGAGTGAGTCTCAGAGCAGCAGGCGACATGGAGATGAGTTGACCCTCAGTGTGAAGAGTGAGATAGCAGATAGGTCATTCATGGTGGTAGTTTTTTTTGTTTTGGAAAGATTTTTTTGATTTCTTGTAGGTGGATTACTTTGAAACTGTGAAAAAAAACATGTGACACAATGTGCTGAGCAACTTTCCAGAGCTTTCAAATTACAAATTGACACTCAACAAATCACTGTCATCTGGAAAAAGAAGTTATTTATGCAAGTAGTGATTGTCCATGATTGATTGCTTTTAGTTATTATCAGACGAAGAAACTAAGGTGGTCAAAGGATAACATGTTACATTAACACTCATCATGGTCCCAAGATGTTAGCAGACAAAGAAGACACAACAAATCACACAATCCCAGAATCTAAAAACATGTCACAACGATTTAAGAAACAACAATACAAAAAACTAAAAGAAGGACAGTTAAATTCATTGTTAATTAATATCATTAACCATTTGTCTTGCAATTTCTAGAAATATCTGCTCGTGTCAACTTATCACACATTGTTGCCTCTGTGTGGACAAAAAGCAAAGACAGCATGAAAATGTAAACATAGTTTTATGTAAGAGTAATACACACATTGGTTTTACTCTGTTATCCCTTTGATAATTTGGTGACCCCTCAGATTTTCTTGGGACCCTTCAGGGGTCCCACCAACAACTTTATACTATAAATTAAAACATGTCTGTAGTGACCTCGAGTGGCTCAAAAGGCAAAGTCAAGTTTTCCCTTTTTCATGAGCTGCAAACTTTTCTTAAACTATAGACCTATGGTTCCCAAAAAGAAAAAAACATATTTAACATCTGTATTGACTAATGTAACCTATCGGTCAAACATCTTTATTATCATGCAAATCATGAGAAGCCTAAGAATCATTTTATAACTGTTATATTTTGTTTATGTAAAGATGGAATGAAGGTATCCAATGTATGTATGGCTTCATATAAATGAGGTCACGAAACAAAAACAAAGTTGCTTAACCGGAGTTACAGACCGTATCTAACTGGTAGGAGAATAGTGGAGGCGTGTGAAAACAGACATTCAGAGTGTCAGCTGAGCAGTGAGAAATGATCATTGAGGCAATAGGTCTCATGGCAGCTTATGGATGAGGACTGATATGTTCGTGAGATGTTTATATCTTGTTTTGGTATGTGACACTGTAATCTGATTCATGGCAGACACATTCTGGGGCTATCTTTGTGGACTGTGCCTCCCATATCAAATATGTGTCCTCATATTTTGAAGTATTGATGTCAACAGATATGAGTTTGCTGCTATAGAGACAGCCCGTCTCGTGGCAAAAAGAGTGACAGGCCTCCTTCACTTTCTTACTGAAGCACTGGGATCTTTCCAGGCGTCACTCGACTATTTTGAGCGACACGTGACGTAACTTGGTTGCTTGCTGCTGCCAGCTGACACTCATGTTCGTTCCACTTTTAAAAGAGAAACAAGGTCCATCTGGTTGATTTTTATCACAGCTGGTACGCGACTCGGACAAAAAGTCCTCTGATAGCTTATGACTGTATAACCTTGTTTTAAACTTGAAGTTAGAAACACTTCACAAGTCATGTGTTTACATTCAGTTAAATACTGACATGGACCAATAAAGATTGAGCGTATGGCTGAGCAGGAATGTGTTGTGGCTCAGAATAGAAATGAGCCCCAAGAGACAGTCAGGAAATCCCCCCGCACCCCACAAGGACAGCATTTAGGTGTATGATTCGTGATTTCCAAGCCTAGAGTTCATGTTAAAAACTCATCCTGACAAAGCAGTCAGACATTGATCAGTGACCTTATTCCACCACAGGGTGAGGGTCACCACATGAAATAACAATGTGGACTCTCAGCAGGTTTTCAGATGTTATCAGTTTAGACTTGAGGTAGTGACAAATGATACGTGTTTGTTTCTGATGGAACAGGGGGCTGAAACAGTCAGTCCGAAAATATGTTCATAATCAACCAAAAATGCCAAACTTGTTTCAGGTTCCAGCTCCTCTAATGTGAAGATGTGCTTTTGTCAGTGTTATGGCACAGTGTACTGAACACTGTAAACTGGAATTTTGGTCCGACATAAAAATGATATTTGAAAGTATCACCTTTGACTTTGAAAAGTGAGCATTTTGACAATTTATAGAATAAGCCATTCATCTATTTATAAGAAACATAATCTGCAATTTAATCATGAATCAAAATCATTTTTGGTTGCAGTTCTGTTTTTTTCCTAAATAAAAGGATAAAGATTGACAAGGGCTACGTAGACAGTTTTGAGAGTTTGTTATTGTATTTGAATACCATCACATTAATATATGCTTAAGTTGGTTACTCTAAAATATGAATACTTCACTAAAAAAGTATATGGTTTGTTGAGATTATGTTTATTATCAAAAGTAAATGACTTAATTAAAGATTTTTAATTGTATTTGACCAAGTTAGTATGAATGTACATGTTCAACAAACAATGACAAATAACAATGACATTCTGTCTGAAATTATATATTAAATGGCTACATATTTAATTATCCTCCTACATGTAAATGATTATCGTCTGTGGCTGTACTGTCTGTGTCAATGTGCACAGGGCATGCTCCATATGGGGGGGTGAGGTATGTGATACGTTGTGGTCTGATTTTCAGAGCAGCTGGTGCTGGGGGCCTGCAGAGAGCCGGAAAAGAGCTGGGAGCAGGACTATGACCACTTCCTGCTTTCTCTCCTTTACGACCAGGAGCCCTGCTACATCCTGTACCGCCTCGACTCCCAGAATGCACAGGGCTACGAGTGGATCTTCATATCGTGGTCTCCTGATCAGTCTCCAGTATGTCGTTGAGCATATTTTTAATTCTGCACTAAATACTAAAGATGCATGCATACATTGCTGTTGATAAAGAAAGCCACAGATATACACACTTTAAGGAAATAGTTCTATAGAACAGCACCTCAGTCAAGCTGTGCTGAGACGGTTGTCGATCTTGTGTAACCATTAGCCAATCACCAACCAAGGTAACCCCCCCCCCCACACCTTATCACCTGAATCTCCTCCTAGAGCACCATTGGTTTATCACATTGGTGGCGTGGGGAGTGGCTCCTTATTTTTCATCTAAAGTAACAGACAGAGAATCAGCACTTTTGAAACAGGGCTGAAACAGAGGGGATTATGGGATGCTACAATGGGTGATCTGTTTGGTATTTCTAGCCAAACACTTCAGAGACATGTTTTGTATATATCTGAGACCTCTAATATATTGATGAAAAACAGTATGATAGGGGACCTTTAATGTACTTTGAAGTAGTTTACTTCAATATTTCATACTAAACCAAATTCAGGAGTAAAATGTTCACTTTTATTCCCTAGCATTATTTTAGACCAAGTTATTCGTTTGTTTGCAGATTTTGATCATTAATACAAAATATAAATCATCCAACCAACTATGGTGTATTACTGTAGATACCCACCTGCTGAGCAGTGCTGAGTTAGCTCTATATTTAACAGTTGAAAATAAAAACTGATGGACACAAAATAATGCATCCCTAATTATATTCCAGAAATATTACTTATATTATTTCAAATTAGCCCATGCTGCAAAATAAATACTTATACTTTTGTTATATTGATACTTTAGTTCTTTCACTAAGTAAGATTTTGATATGCTGGACTTTTACTTGTGACAGAGTATGTTTACACCTATCCTACCTTATGCTATCTGGATACTTCATCCACCCCTGAGTAATCTTTAGCAATTAATTGAGCAATTTTGTCTTTTCCCTTAGTGCAAACCATTTGAAAGCAACACTCACCAGCAACACACAGTATACACACAGTGCATATCTTTTCTCCTCCTTTGGCTGCAGGTGAAACAGAAGATGTTGTATGCTGCCACCCGTGCCACAGTAAAGAAGGAGTTTGGAGGTGGCCATGTGAAGTACGAGATGTTTGGCACAACCGAGGTCAGAAGTATTTGAAATTCTTCCTGATCTACTGTGACAGATTGTTTTTTAAAAGTGTAGCCTAATGATGTGTGGTGTTTGACTCTTGTTTGTTTCTTGTTGTGTTTTCAACACTAGGAGGACATTTGTTTGCTGGGATACCAGCGCCATGTGTCCTCCTGCTCAGGTCCTGCCCCGCTCACACTTGCTGAACAAGAGCTGCAGAGGATTAAAATCACAGAGGTGAGAGGTCGCCATACTCTCTGCAGTGTTGGCATTGTTTCACATGCCTTGTGTTCGTAATACATCCTCCTTTCTTTGAAGTGTAACACTTTGATGTGATTTTATTCTTTTCAGTGCCGGGTTAAACAGGTATGTTGATACAGTGTTATAAATTCACATTTGAGCTGGATGGGGAAAGACAAAGAGAACATATCCATTGTTTGTGATAAGTGGTCAATTTATATACGATATATACTATAAGGTAAGTCATAAAGGAAATGTGAGGCTATGTTATCCAATGAAATATTTGCTTAATTAAGACGCTTGAAGAGATAGTCAACTATTTTGTGTGTGTGCGTGTGTGTGTTTGCTGCCCCCTGCAGGTGAAGACAGAGATCAGCGTGGAGAGTAAGCACCAGACACTTCAGGGTCTAGTTTTCCCTCTGCAGGAGACTGCCAAAAGAGCCCTGCAGCAACTTTCCCAAAAACGCATCAACTACATTCAACTGGTGAGCCGTAGGGATTAGTTCAAGAGTATGAAAATGAGCTACCTCGTAAAAAAGCCAGTGGCATTTTTCCAGTTTAAAAAAAAGTTATCATCAGGAGCAATTAATTCCCCCGTGCTTCTGTGGTTGTATTCTAAGAAACACATCCTGTACACTGTGCATTATTTATGTGTTCCAGAGGTTGGATGTACAGAAGGAGACAATCGAGCTGGTCCACTCCAACCCGACAGAAACTCGTGAATTGCCCCACAGAGTTCCCAAAGACACTCCCAGATATCACTTCTTCCTTTATAAGCACTCTCACGAAGGAGACTACCTGGAATCTGTTGGTATGTCACTGATTTCCTGAAAATCCTCTGCTATTCACATCTGTTTCAATATGTACACGCAGGCACGATTAGGTTATGTACACCTGGACTGCAGATGCTCAGAGAGAGTGCAAGAGTACATGCCTTCATCCGCATCAGTGGTTCCCAACTGTTTTGCCTAGTTGACGCCTTAAAATAAAGCAACAGTTACTTGTAAATTGCATGACAGAAAATAGCTGCTGTGAGCATTTCAACTGAATATCGATTTTTCCTGCTCTATTTATTTACCTTGATGAATTTGTGTAGGCCTTGGGAGGTGAAATAGTCTGTATTTACAAGAATAAAACCAGACTTTAGGGACACATTTGATGTAAAATAAATTCATTTTAAACCATGCAGATCTTAGGTACCTCTTTTGGGTGTTTGTTCCCTGATCCACATCAACATAACATATTCAAAAATATTTTGTCTTTTTTTCCTGCATGCAGTGTTCATATACTCCATGCCAGGATACAGCTGTAGCATTAAGGAGCGGATGTTGTATTCAAGCTGCAAGAGTCGACTACTGGAGGACGTGGAGAAAGATTACCATTTGGAAGTTGCTAAAAAGGTAACAAAGGGATACAACGATCATTTAAGACAGTTTAATGCATGGTTGTAGTATCCATTATAACAGTCTGGTCATGTTCTCTGAAATATTTTCATTAAAAAACGAAATGAAAAAAAGATATTCAGTGTTTCTCCTCCAGAGTTGTTGTCTTAGCCCTGTGAAAGGCTTTGAAAGACACTCAGATTTGAAGACAGAATTTACAGTTGAACTGAATTGTTGATATATAAATAATAAAACAAATAAGGAGGGGATGGTTGCATTAGGGGATTAGAAACCATGACCTCAGCATTTCTTAAATCCTGGTTTCAGTCCTGGTTGTATTCACTACCTTTAAATGTAATTGATGTTCATACTAAACACTGAGTACTCATTCACCTGCATGCTTGTTTCCATTGTTCTGCCTCTTGTGCAGTTGGAGATCGATGACGGAGACGAACTGACTGAGGACTTCCTGTATGACGAGGTCCATCCCAAGCAGCATGCTCACAAACAGGCCTTCGCTAAGCCCCGCGGCCCGGCAGGAAAAAGGGGACACAAGCGCCTCATTAAGGGGACAGGAGGCACCCTACAGAACAGTTAGAGGCGGACCCCTTCCTCCCCATAGTCCCCAGACCCGCTAACACCCATAGGCCCAGAGGAACGAGCACAGTGGTGGACTTCCTCTGCTGCTTGTGTACAACACTTGTGCTTTATAAATATGTTTTTGATGATACAATAATGGTCAAATATATGTCTCTCCCACAGACATATCAAGTCTTATAAAGACAAACTATAGATAACATGTGTAAGAAAACATGACTCAAATCCCTAATAAAAAAACAATCAGGCTACACACTGACAGATTAGCTTGTTGTTGTATAGCTAATCTGTCTGGTTCTTTCATACGTCAAAAATTGATTTCTGCCGTTTACAACATACAGATTACAAGTTTTGTATCAGCAATGTTTGTATGAGAATATGAAAGGAAATTCCAAATAAATGTTGTTTATACTGTGATATTAGACCTTCTTGATACAAATGTGTGTGTTATTATTCAGCATGCAATGTTTAACCCTAAATATATATAAATATATATATATATATATATATATATATATATATATATATATAACACTGAGTTAAATCTTTAAACTAACATCTGTCTTGATCATAACAAACAGATGTATATTTTTCGTTTTCACATTTGAACCCTTTAAGTTCTATTTTGTTTACATATTGCCACGGATAGCAACAACACTGACATTATACAGCAGCAATAGGTGGAAACCATGAACAAAATCATTTGTTTTTCCCACAGGGAAAACATGATAAAGCCGTTTTAAAATACCATTTTGAAGCCAGTGCTCTATATTGAAATACATACAAGTGCATAGGTACATGCTGTAATGGCATGGTCAACAAATGTCTTTTTTAACGGGACATTTCTGTCCTTAGTCCCGGAGTGTATTTAGCTTCACAGTTCATTATAGACTTATTGGAGCTGTGGTTGCTGTGGCTGTTTTTGCACAAAAACTGAAGCCACATTAGAAACATGGAAACCTAATGCATTAACTTGGCCAACATTATTGTAAAATTAAAAAGCCGTAACTATTCCAAGAAAGGCACAAGGGTTAATCCATGGACTTTGTGTTGTTTGTGGCCTAAATCTCAAAGAATAGGAGTTTTAAATTAGACGAACAGTCGTGAGCCACCAAGGGGACAGCCCTCTGGTCATGGCAGTGAGACTGCAGTCTTTGAAACGCTGCACCGTGTTGATTTAACAACATCAGCAGGAGTTCTGGCTAATGTGGCCTCAGAATACAAAAACAATGCGCAACTCTGCCCGTGTCAAACGACGAAAGGTCAATAGTTACAAAATCACTTTTCAGGGCTCTTTTAATGCAGACACTCTTTTTCAATTTGTTTTTTTTAAATCTTCACAATCGGTGTAGATGCTGCATACTTCTTCAACATGCTTCTGCAAAACCTCTGAGGAACTGGACACACTCTTGTAGTCTGCCACTAATGAGTGCACACAGAGCAGAGGGGAGGCTCTCTCAGGCTGTTAGTCAACTAATTGGTCATAAAGGCTCTTGGTTGACTAAGAAATCTTAAGCTGATTAGATGTGTATATGCTTTTATTTTGAGGGGTGCTCACATGCTCACAATCACGTTATGATCAGGCATTATAACTACCAGGTCAACCGCCTATAGTTTATGATTTGATAATTAGCACTGAACACAACTGCTACAGGCACTAATACAGGCCGATGAGTTTCATTTGATTAATACTGATTTTATAAACTAAAATAATGGACATAGTCAACTTTTGGCTTCATGGTTGTTCTGTATGTAAAGTAAGGATAACACAAAAAGCTGTTAAATACATCTTTAGGGATGATGACTTTTACTACTAGCTTTCATAACTTTTAACAACCCAATATTAGTTCAAATGTTTCAATCTGGAATAAAGTGATGGACAAACTAATTTCCATTGCTATCACCTCCTAGAGCAAAGCTGCAACTAGGGCAAAAATACCACTGTCAATCTGTTTATTGTTCATTGTGTAGTATACTGTCGTTATCACATTTATTTACAAATGAAAGTAACCAAATTATAGTTACAATTGTTGGACGACAACAAGCCTTTTGTTCTGATCCCCGTGAACAAAGCTCTGCTGATGAATAAAGTTTTCTCTCAATAACCAGCAGATGGATTTATGTTGCTGATTCCAGGCCATTAAAGCTTTTCTCAGAAATACTCTGGATAAAGGCCCTTTTTTCGCTCCATGTTGGAAGAGACAAACAGTTATTCCTTTGTGTCTCAAACATCTTATCAATTCTTAGAACATTCTCGATATGTTAAAAAATTGAGTAAGCTTCAGGAATTTCTTGAACAACCCAAACTATTTTTCTAAATCTTTTGAGGAATATTTTATTAGGTAGGGTTTAGTCGACATCACTGTTCAGACAAAATATCTTCATATACGAACAATGAAAACCAAAAAATGTGAATTACTAGATTTTGAACACAAGTAACAATATTAAATTGTTGTTATAGGAACACAAATGATTTGCTTTTTCTGTATATTATCCGTGCTTTTTTAGCTGCAAGAGAATTCCAATGGTTTTTGCTGTATGTAGCCTTCAACAACACACAATCTTTCTGAAGCCTCAATATCTCTGCAGTGATACACAATGCATTGTGCTGCTGCACCTGAACAAAGATAGAGGTTTTTCTGAAACCAAATGAATGCTGTATACTTACTGTTTCCAGAAAACTTGCCCGGTTTAATCTTATTACCAAGATGGGGAAAAGCACAATTACTAGAATTCACTCGACAAAGTATAACAATAAAATATCAGACAAGCAACATACTTTATTTCCGGTTTAATGGGCCTCTAATCACGTCATAACCGAATAATCACCACATAAAAAACAGTTTTTGCCTTTCTTTGTCTTCTTCTAAAACGACTGTCAGGATAGTGTAACAGAAATTATGCAAATCCCAGAATAGGGTTTTGTAATCTGAAAATAGTAAAAAGGGAAGCTCTGCATACTCAGGTGCAGCTCAAGTAAACATAGGAAATATAGTTCACAATTGTCCAAACAAGAGCTGAAACAATTGGTCAATTTCTCCATTAGCTCAACAACTGATAATAAATCTAAATCCTTTTATTTACGTGTTTACATGGTCAATTTAGAACCACCCCCCCCCCCCCCCCCCCACTATCCTGGTTTCCATCATTATTTATTATTCTCCCTGAGTTTTAATTTCCCTCTTTTATTTGTTATAACTCATAAACCATCCTCGTTACAAAACATACAAACCCTAATCTAACATGACATGTCACAAAGACCAGCAACTAACTTTCCTCAAAAAACCAGACAAGTCAAAATTAGACCTCAGTCACAGTGTTAACATCGAGCTGAAGGTTAATACAGTATGTTCCTTTCATCTTCAAATTCTTGGTAGTTTCTCTGCCTTCCCAGCACAATGTTCTCCAATTACCAACTGTCCCTGGAGTCTCTGTGCTCCTAAAATATGCTTTTTCATATCATACACTTTAGGACAACGTTCAGTTTGAAATGCTTTGTATATAACATTCAAACATGTACATCTTCCTTTATGAGGAAGGTCGTTTCTCTAAATATTGGTTATGGTTATTTTCATGTTTGTCAGGTTCAGTTGTAATGTGCTTTGTTTGACTGCTGAATATTGCATGGTGCCAGTTTAGCAAACAAGATCATCCTGTTACATAATAAATAATAAAGTAAATCAAGATAAAGGTTCACGAAAAATAACTGCACTGTTCTTTTCCCCCCCTGAACGGGGTAAATAAGTCCACAATTCTTCCTAGGGGAAAAGCACATTTCAGGATTTCTTGGAAAATGTGGAGATTTAGAAATTCTGGAACAGCATGCTTTGGTTATGATACAGACATGTTTGATATGTTTGTGTGAGTGATGGTTCAGACTTTTGAGTAAATATTTAAAACACTTAAACAACTAAATGGTGAAAAACCAGCTGCCCAGCAGGCCTTATTTGGTCATTCAGAGTAAAAAGAAAAGTTGAACTGATGTGGATTTCCTAGAAAGATTCCCTAGAAAATAAACGCAGGAGGGATTCATAAACAGAAATATTACATTCTCAACCTGAGGCACGGCTTTTGGATAACAAATCAAGCGTAATGCAATGCAAAAGACAGGATTAGAGGGTGAAAATACCTTGGCAACATCACATTAGTCTCTGCCTGACAGTAGTGTTAACTCGTTTTATAGTGTATTGTCACAATAACAACTTCCTTTGTCGAGCGTAATTACTCCGGCAAACCTCTGAGAAAACCTCTCGCAGTGTTTTTCCACCATGGATCGAGGGAAATCTATATTACTGGAAACAGGCTGTGTGTGCATTCCTATTATCTTTAATGTCGAGGCGGTGAATTCCCAGAAAGAGAGCTCTGTCAGGCGGCCCGGCGGGGCGGAGTCAAGCCCTGCAATTATTCCTGGAAAGCGAATAGGGGGAAACTGCCGCGCGATTCCTGGGAGCGAGCGCTCGCTTCAGCCCGTGGCCCAAACAAGGGGGAGAGATGAGTCTCAAAACCAAACACGGGGAAATGACCGGGCTCACCGCGGTGTTATCCTGAGAATCAGCCGAAAGAAAAACAAACATTTTTTCATCAGCAAAAGCGCTGCTAAATACCGGAGCTGTTAGAGCAAGACAACCAGAGGCGAAATGGGAGTTGGTGCGGCGGCTGTGACGTCAGAGCCGCCGGTGCTGTTCTCAGAATAGGCTTCTAGGAAAAGGTGATTTTTAAAAGCCCAGCCTTTACACTCTGTCCTTCACACATTTGGATCCCATTCTGGTGACAACACACTCCAAACCGCTGCTACGGAGATTTCTATGTTTTAAACGTGTTGTTTTCATGTTTCTCGTTCAGTGTTGTTCTTATTACAACTACAGGACCAGACCATTACTGACTGGGTACACCGAGCTCTTTTATCACCGATTTGAAGGCTTTTCGTTTTGTTTTGTGGAAGTGCTTTTTCCTTTCTTCGGACGGAGATCATTGTCTTTATGTTTCGTTATTTTCTGCGGAAGAAACACTGACCGGATCTTAATCTGCAGAGGATTTAAGGAATAACATGATTCTTTGTGTACCAGCGTGAGTTGACTTTCTTTGTATATGCGTTTTCTATTTTATTGTGTGCGTTGAGAATCCTATCAAAACCAATTATATGTGTAAAAGTAATACACATTGTATTATTGTTACGTTTTTATCTTAGTCTAACAGTGTTAATTGTACATGTTTTCTAGGAATCGCAACTCATGTATAGCCTACCAATTACAAATGGCCTGCAACACGGATAACAAATATTAAATGCTCTTTATCAAAAACGTCTTAATTATATCAGTAGAAATCATACAGTTAAGTTTAACCTTTAATTAACCACGATGGACTGATTCAGGTTAAACTGTTATTTAAGGGTCATTACCAAAATTGCCATCAGTAACAGACAAAACATAAAATATGTCTAAATTAAGTATTACATATGTATGTATTTAATTACATACAATTACAAATGAGATAATTCATAAGAATATTCACAGTTTGTGCTTCTCACGTTTAAAGTGGACAAAGAAGTGGGCGAGTGAACGACTCCATCTGTTCCTTCTTATTTAGCAATAAACACTGAACTAAAAATAATGATGTACTTTAACAAGGAAGAGCAAACCCTGCATTGACTATTTTCTTTTATGTTTTTTTTAAACCTTGTTTTTCACTTTATTTACAGTCCGAGAGCACCTCTGACTGCTGCTCCGTCCACTGATACCCTGAGGGGGATGCGGGCAGGAACAGCACCTACCCCTTGCCTTCAAAGCCCCCCCCCCACTATGGGACCCAACAAGGACCTGCGGGCGATTGCCAGCAACTTCTGCTATCTAGAAAACTCAGGTATGAAAAGTGTTTAACACTCACACTCTTTGTAAAAGATTGAGTCATAATTCAGTTTTTAATTTAGTCATAATTGTGGAAAATTAAGCAACAAACAGGGCAGTAATAAGGAGTGTTCAGAGTGACTAATATTTAGGAATGTGTGTGTGTGTGTAGGATGGTACTGGGGAGCTGTAACTGCAGCTCAGGCCCACGCTGCGCTTCAAGAGGCATCTGAAGGAGCTTTTTTGATACGAGACAGCAGTCACCCTCTGTACATGCTGACCCTCTCCGTCAGGACGGCACGAGGTCCCACCAGTATTCGGATCCAGTACAGCGGGGCACAGTTTTTGCTCGACTCCAGTTCCCCGGCCAGGCCAAGCCTGTCGTCCTTCCCCAACGTGCCCAGCCTGGTGCAGCACTACATGGGGCCAGGGAGGAAAGCAGAAGAGGGCAAGGTGTGGGAGGAAGCCCCTTCAAAACCCTGTCAGCAGACAATTCAGGAGACATCTGTGGTTTTAAAACTGAAGCGGCCTGTGTACAAGCCGCAGGGCCTCCCCTCCTTACAGCACCTCACTCGCCTGGTTATAAACAGACACTCTGACCAGTCCGAGCAGCTCCCACTCCCCAGGCCTCTGCTGCGTTACATTCAGGACTATCCCTTCAAGGTATGATGGGTGCCTCATGATGTTGTTACATTTAGGGTCAAATAAACAGTCAAACAGGTCTCTGGTGCCTGAAAATGACACCGCTGCTCCAGCAGTTGGAGGCCAGTCACGAAACCACTGGACAAATGTGTATAAATTCAATTTATACTGACGTGCCTGGTGCCAGACTTGATTGGTCGAGGATTGGTTGATGAAGTACAAAGACTTGTGCGCAAAGATGTACTGTAATCACATATTTTGTGATTGATGTGGGAATTGTCCATGTCCATTTGACCCTCATCAGTTGTGGATATACGTACTGTTTCCAATAACTACACTGATTCCATTAAGACATATTTTATGCCGTTTTATTTTTCTCAGTAAAACATTTTTTCTACCTTTTACATGTGTACATTTTTCTATTAAAATAATGAACTTACTTGCTGTCTTCTTAATAATTTTTATTTCCTCATCTTTATTATTCACCACCACATGATGGTTTGTTTTTGAGTCACTTTTTCACAAATCACCTTTGAACACAAAGACTGGCCTTTGAGCTTCAAGTGTGTGAGATGCAGATTGTGTGAGGAAGTGAAGGCCAGATTGTGTGTGATTTTGCTCAACAATGCGTACAGCCTGCATCTGAGTCAGCGAGTGGACGAGGAAAGGGGAGGACCGTTCATCAGCGAATTCACAGAAGTACTGAGAGCTTCCTGGGAGCGGGAGGGAGATTCTGAGAGGGAGGGTTCTAAGAAAAGCCTCAGTAATTACCTTCAGCTCTGAGCCTGCTTTGGTGCCATCTCGCACACATTTTATTGTGGCGGAGGATGTGATAACAACTGTTACCAGGTGAAGTATTACAGTGACATGAAAATAATTTGAGCCACGGCAGATTGTGAATATTGAGTGATCAGATGGGTGCGAGCGCGCGCTCGGCAGCTCAGTGGGGGCGGGGGGCTGAGGCGACCTGGGCTAATGCCAGCGTAATAGGATCTCAGTTTCTCAATCCAGATCCAACTTGTGGTCCTTCTCTTTGCGAAGGATGCAGAAACGCGGCCTAAGGAACAAATACAAATCGGGATTTAAGACTTGAAATGAGGAAAACAAATGAGTTTTTGTTTTGGGTGTTAATGAGCTAAGTATTATAATTTAATTAAATATTTTAACAGTGAAGCCTTTTAATCAAATAGAACTGATGGGGCTTACTCTGACATTACAGCGGGTTAAAGAGATCTGCACAAACCTGCCGCTGATGTCGTGCCTTGTCTCCACATAATGCATCTCTTCCACATTCACCTCCACCCACCGTTGAATGAGCGGAGGGTGTCTGGGATCCACCTCCAAGTAAACACGGCTGGTAATCACCATAAAGAAAACACAGAATGAACAAAAAATTAATTATCAGGACAGGATTAGCGGCAGCACCCATGAGATGAGAGCAGGGGCACATGTCTGGAAGTGAATTCACTGGAAGCTTACCTCTTTAAAGAGGCAACACGATACCCGTGCTTTTCGGAACATGCTGTTCTTGTGACAAGCTGCCGCCGTTTAGGAATTAAACCCAGGTGGGCTTGCTTGCCTGCGTGTGTGTGTGTGTTGGGCAGTGGGGTTCCTTACCCATGATCTGATAAAATCTGTGGAGCCAGAGTCAAAATTTGTTTGATCACTTCTAGGCCATCGTTCCCTCCATCCAAAGCAGCATGGTCTTCAAACCTGGGACACCAGAAAACACATAAATACTTGAATCACTACTTCTAGACATTGCATGCAATTTTTTGACTTTGGCTACTCTGAAGCGAGCATCACATTAATTAAATACAATTACATATTTTAATATTTTATTTGTTAATAAATTATTAGTATGATTGTATTAAATGCGGCAGGTTTAGAAAGAATAAACAGTTCATGAAATGATATATAGCACATTATATCACACCGTACTGCCTAGAAAACCAAAAGGAAGTTACAATGTCTTTGGTCATCATTTAGAAAAGAACAGAATCAGATCTGTTGACATCTGTTTAACACACAACATGTTCTTATGCTCTAAACGTCTTTAATTTGAAAGGAAACAGTATATTAAGTTAGGACTTACTAAAAACTCTTACTTGCTAAGAGGGTTGTTCAGATCATCTGTTGCACTCAATACATAATTGAGAGCAGCTTGATACATTTTCCTCTGGGCCAATCAGAGTGTGACAACAACCTTTCTTATGTGTTTATGTTCTTGTCCTGGAACTCTGGCTTCTTTACTTTCTAAATGTTTCTGATTGAGGGTGATTTTGAGCATGTCACCTGCATCAGGGCAGACTTCAGCACTAATGGTGCAGGACCTAATGCTTGCATGAAAATATTTGAACACTCAGGCTTTTGTTTATACTTTTTTAAGCTTTTCGGGATTAACTATTTAGCAGATGGATTTTCTTTTTAATTGGCAAAAGGACTGTTGGCCAAGACGCAGGAGACGTGAGGCGACACAACAGCTTGGTGTGTCTGGGCCTTTAACCACACCAATCATGGATTTCAGTCAAGTCAAGAGCTGAGAGGGCAGGCTAACTCTCTTTGATATCCCATGAGCGGACTTAAGCAACTACCTTATTTAAGTTGGATAACAAAATAAATCACCATGATGTTAGATTGTTTATAGTAACTCTTAAATTAGTCAAGTGAAATGGGACATCAATATTACGATATGGGACAGATACAATTGTTTAAAAAAAGGAGAAGTCACCAAAAAGTCAATAAATTATTCAGAGCACATTATAGGGATCATTATCATCGTCATCTATGATAACAAGACATTTATAATGTATATACATACTTAAATACATGTGTATACTCCAGTTGAGGATACTTCATAGGAAGAGTTTTAATTGTTACAATAATCCAGGAATGCAGAGTTTATACTGCTTATAGCTCATGCTATGGGGAGGTTGAATACAAAGGTTTGGAGAGGCTGAATGTGTTTTAATCACCGATACACTTCAGGTTCCAGCGCCGTCATATCCTCTGAAAACAGGTACGGGGGGTTGCTGACCAAAACAGAGACAGAGCTACAGAGGCTCAACACTGTTTCTGCATCTGGAAAAACACATTTGAAGTTTGGGTAACATTTCATGATGCCAGTGTTTATAATGCATTCTAATAGTTATAGCATGGTTTTAACAAAGTTGAAAGAAAGCCATTCTTTATGCTTTATAACACTATTGATAACACATTGACTCATAAGGGCTATCAAAGCACATATCATTCATTAAGAGGTGATAACAAGTTACATTGTGGTCATTCTTGCTTTAAGAAAAACAAATATTTTACAATGTTGTGTGTATTGTTGGCAAAGGTTAATGACAAGGATTATAATGCAATATAAAACAATTGTAATGTATTACAAGAACAGGGATTATAAAACACAATATATGACTTGACTTTATAAGACCTTTGATTGACCCTTTATGACTTATTTTGTTCATTGTTTATAGAACACATTATATATGTTTGGAAAGTGCTTATCAGCAGTATGTTTAATTCACTGCTTTCCCTTACCTTTCATTACATCTAAATGATGGATTTGTAACCTGTCCTGAAGCCCCAACCTGCAGAGGAAAATCCTTCATCAGACTAAACACAACGTTTATTGTAAGTCTTTCACCGCCACAAAAGTAAATCAATAAGAACATTTACAACTCCCTTTCTTGGGCTGTGGTTAATTACCTTAAAGCATTCTCTCCTGTTAAATCCACCGCATCCTGGCTTTGATCCACAGCGATGGCTTTAAGCTAGTGACAGAGAAACAAACACAGCCATTTCAAGTGCTGTTTTTTGGATACAAATAGCTCAGGGAAAGAAGTGTGCATGAGAACGTGACAAAATAGTGGAAAGTACGCCTGGGTCAGTGAGCTGATGTAAATACTGTGCTTTGTCATGTGAAGACAATAACTTATTCTCTGAGGTCAGGAACACCAAACTTATCTGGGGACCATAATTGTCTTGACAGAATATGGTGCCAACACATTTGTCATTGCTGAAATATTTCACTGAATAGATGAAGATTTTGAACTGCTGGGGTCGCGTTTGGAGTCACACACGCAAGCATCCTCAGTCAGAAAGATAATCATGATGGCAGGCTTTATTCTCTTGGGAATATGTTAATCCATCAAATATTTGATGAGATACTGACGTTCTTAGAGGCTCATCGCAAGCGTCTTCTTCCTTCAATCAACACAAATCTCACCTGAGGCCAACTCTTCAGCAGACTGAGAGAAATAGCACCAGAGCCACATCCCACTTCCAAGCATGTTTCCTGTGTACCAACTTCAGTCCCTGGCTTCATCTGCAGATCAGTGAGCACCAGTTCAACCAACTCCTGCACCAAAAAAACATGGCTCTGGTTATGAATGATTGATCACTGTAGAATTGTGTGTCCTGTTTTCCTTCTGTCAAACCTCAGTTTCAGGTCTTGGTATGAACACAGGAGGTTTCATCTTCAGTGTCAGATCTCTGAAGTCCCACTCTTCAATCACATACTGCACAGGCATCCTACAACAAGAACACACATTCATGAGTATTCTAAGTAAAACATATTTAAACAAAGGTGTATTTCAACTATTTATACCTGGATAGGCGTTTAGAGCAGAGCTTCCACATCTGCTCAGTTTTTTCTGGACTGAGAAACTCTGTTAACTTCTCCTGCTCAAGACTTTCTATCTGGATAATGAAACAATAAGTAGAAACAAGTAAGAATGCTGTCAATTGTGAATGTAGCTATTCAGACATATGAGGCAGGATCACCCATAAGGGGACAACAAGGGAAACGATTTATTGGATCTAGCCACTAGTTCGGGGCCAGCAAGGATCGTGACCAACTATTATTTAATGTAAGCACATGTCTGTGGGCAGGTCTCACATCAGGTAATGATGAATGAGCCCAGCAAAGTTCCACTTACAGTTTTAGCCCCGAGCAGATAAGCAAGGATGTAATGGCTGGAGTGGTCGGGCTCCGTCACGCCTCTCTCAGCAAAGTGTCTTTCCCATAAATCTGCTGCCTGTCGAGCTGTGATCCGGCCTGCAGGTAAGGCTGGAGCGCTGCATGACCGCACTGCATGGTAGCCCCAAAGTCTCTAAAAATGAAAATAAGAAGGTTTAGAGTTATCAAGCTTTGGTTTAAACAGGTACTTGTTGATTTCTACTTGTGCCTCCCCTTCAGGGAAATAACCATATGCTCAAGTCAGATTTATTGATAAGATTGGATTATATTGTTTGGCTGGTCACATGCAAAATCTTTCAGATTTGGGATCACGTACGAATTTCCAAATTAAAAGCCTGCAGTTTTACATTATCTAGTGACACATTCTGGTTTCCATCACATGACCTTCGTCACCCACACAGTCCCCTGATTCCTACTTCCCTTATCGGCCTAGCAGGATTGGATAGCCTTTAATGTTCCAGAGGAGCAATTTGGTTTAATAGCTGCAAGGATTATTCAAAAAGAATCGCCACTGCTTTGATATCTGATTAAGACATTTTTGATGGAGAAATGGCAAAAAAAGCCTTTTTCAGTCCCTCCAATATGGATATTTCTATCGTATTCAAAATATTTTTTCGGGGTTTTGGACCAAACCAACATGGCATTTAAAGACATCAACTTTGAGAAAATTAGAAGGACTTTAAAAATATATATTTTCTGACTATTTAAAGACGAATCAGACATAATATGCCGATTTATAGTTTCAGCTCTATTCGGTTTGCAAACAGTATTCAACACACTACACTTCATACAATAGATAAGAAATATGTTTGACATATAGTAGATGTCATCCTAATACAATTGCAATGAGCTATAAAAGCACAGAGTCCATGAGTATTTTGTTAAACTGTGTGTGCAATAACAACTAGGCCGACCATTTGTAAACAGTCGATGGAGCCAATAGTCTCAGATGTCTGTTTGATTTGGCCCTCCTAGAAAAGTTGAACTCCTCCTTGCAGGCATGGTTTAAAACTTTGCATAAAAAGGGTGTGGAGTGTCCTTCAGAATCGCTCTAACTTGATGAACATGGCTAAAATAATTTAAGTTAGTTCAAATGGTCTTTTGGCAAATGATATGTTTTGTATACGATGCTAAGGTTGCCAAACTAACAAACTATAGCAACAGTTAAATTGACTCAAAGAAGATGAATATAAATGTTTATGAGCTTTTAGTCAACCTTGAAAACCTTCAACTTTTTCAAGAAAAACAGTCTGTGATTGGCTTATTTATATGCTGGCACATCTCCAATGCTTCACTGCCTGATTATCTATTTTGCACCTGTCCTGGTCTTCCAGCCTTTGTTGTCGCCTGTCTTACTGTCTGATGATTCTTCCCGTCTGGTTTTCCTGCCTGGACTGAGTAGCTGGTTTTGACCTTAGCCTATTTTTAGACTTTAGCAAAGAGAACATTTATCTTTCACCGTTTTTGTCACTTTAGATAACACAATTATTTGATTTTCTGAGCCATTAAAATACCTCAAGTGTTAGTTAAACTAAATAATTAATTAAAATGTAATCATTGGGTTCTAGGAACTTGTGGTGGACCGTTTTTGAGCAATACAATATGACTTACATATTTATCAATAATTAAGTGTAATCTTAGATAGGCCTATACAAGGAGCATTGACTCTAAATGTTGAATGGGGTGGAATAAATGGCTGCGATAATTATTAAATAAAATGTAATTAAATTATCTCTTCTTGAGATACAATTACATCTTAAAGCTTTTGTTCAGAAGCAATTAGACTGTGATGCCACTGCAAACCCAGTATAGGTAAAACAACTTTTATATTTGTATACATACAAATCCTAATAACATTGAAGTGTTAATCCCTACAAACCGGCTCAGTAAATACATAAGCATGATCACTGGGATTATAAAATAGGCGCACTGGTCTGTAAATGGTATCTGTTACAAAGGATCATTGTGCTACACAGTTAGCATTACATGTAGAACACCAGGGTGACTCCCTGAAAACAACAATGTTTTGTGTTAGTTACCTTTGGTCCAACACTCCTGCAACCATAGCATGTGTAGCCTGCACTCAGAGATCTTTTCCACATAATGTATCCTAACAAACACAACCTATCAATATTGTTTTAGTTTCATCGCGGCATCCTTACGTCATTCTGTTATCCTACATGAACACTTTCAAGGTCACTTGTATCGCCCTAAATTAATGTTAAATGACATGTTCTGGATGGCACTGTAGTTGGTAGAGTTGATAGTATTTCCTGCACATGGAGCATCAAACCTCCCGGCTGTTGACCTGACACAGAAACGTCTCCACAACATGCGGTGCACACTGCGCAACACTAACCCCCTGGACACATTTCACTGAACTAAATGGTATTATCAAAAAGAATACATAATAACTCACACAAAATGAACAGAATACATATTTAAAAAATCTACTTTCCTTCAAAGTATTTGATATTGAAAACAAATGAGATGTTTGCATGGTAAACCAGATTATTTTTAACTGCGCAATACTGACCCTAGTGAATAATGCTGCATTTAAAGACTGTCGAATGTGTTACTATTTATGAAGACTTAAATAAAATCCCAGCAACATAGTGATAACCCCAAAAAGAACACCTAAAGTATTTGATTAATATTTTATTAGCCAAAAAATAATGTGAGTATTGCAAACAGTTGATGGTAAACATCGATGTAAACAACTATTAGCAAATGTATCATCCTTTAAATATACTTTCGACAGAAAATTGCAACTGTACATGCAGCACAAATGCCAGATCATTTATATAATATGTTGTTATTATTTTTAGTTTTTAAAAAACTACATATCCTGAACTGTCTGTTTAGTATTCACGGCGTACGGTGTATGTATTAGTAAATTCCGAGGTGTTCCTGAACACATCAGCAGTGTTGTTTTCTTGTAGTCAAGTGGGCATGAATGTGTCGAGTTTTGTAGAGTTTTAAGATAGTTTGCTATTAGTTGACAACATGTTGTTCAAAGTATCGTGGTAACACATTTATTTGGACGTGAGGGCTGCTAAGTGTACTTATCTGAAGGTTGCTATATTGTGCTTCAACCAAAGCTGTAAGCTAGCAGCTAGCCTCTTCTGCTAAATAACAGAAGACTGCCCTCTGAAACTGAGACGTTTGGTTGAGATGCTGATCATGACCTCTCGAATAGAGTGTATATTTTTCAGTGAATTTCACCCCACCCTGGGTCCAAAGATAAGATATCAGGTAAGTGTGCAAATTCTATTTTTTAACAAGAAGAAAGGTAATACAATTATCAAATCTATTACCATAATTAATACCAACAATAAGTATTCTTATAGTTATACAAACAAAAGTATTTATAAATAACTTTTCTTTGTATCTGTATTCAACAGATAAGCCTACATTAAGCAAACATAATACAATATAATGTTTTTATAATACATTCAAACAAATATAATTATGCATTATTTGAGTACAGCTATGAGATAAATTGTTAACAATATCATCAAGTATATTCAGAGGTGTGAAAAGTACTTCAAGAAGTAGATATTGTACTTAGGTAAAGGAAGAACTACCAGAGTGTAGGAATACTCTGTTACCAGTGAAAGTCCTGCATTCAAAATGTTACTAAAGTAAAAGTGCAAAAGTATCAGCATCAAAATATACTTAAAGTACCAAAAGTAAAAGTACTCATTATGCAGAGAAGTAACTAAAGGTATTACATATATATATAGTTGAGTAAAAGTACACGATTAAGCTCTGAATTTTAGTGGAGTAGAAGAAAAATTAAAATACTTAAGTGAAGTACAATGTACAAGTACCTCAAAATTGTAGTTAAGTACATTACTTGAGTAAATGAACTTAGTTACATTACACCTCTGAGGACATTACAGTTTAATATGCTGTTGTATTTGAAACACTTATAGTATCAGATAAAGCAAACATCTTAATAATAATTAAGAGTTATTTGTGTGGTATTGACCTTTGAAGTGAACAGAACAAAGTATTCTCTGTGTATCTTATGGGATGTATGTGTATACAGTGCCTCCTATGTTCTCTCCTCACAGGTCCCAGAGGAATACATTTCACGGGAGCTCTTTGACACCGTGCAGGTTTATATCATCACCAAGCCAGAACTGCAAAACAAATTGATAACAGTGTATGTCATCTAATGCTTCTTTCTCCTCGACAAAGTTCATTGGTTGTTATGAACATGTGATCTTGTTACATGCTAATGTCTCTTTCAGCATCAAACCATTCTCTCTTCTCTTTTCATCTTTCTTTTTTTAGCACTGCCATGGGAAAAAAGTTAATAGGATGTCCGGTGTGCATCGAGCATAAAAAGTACAGCAGAAATGCGCTGCTGTTTAACCTCGGCCTGGTTTGTGACGCTCAAACCAACACGTGTGCACTGGAGCCGATCGTCAAGAAGCTGTCAGGGTACCTCACAACTTTGGAGGTAATGAATGATGCATTTAACCGATAGTTACATTATGTTTGTTTTCAGACAACTCAGAGATGATCTTAAATGATTTTGCCTCTTTGTGTTGCAGCTGGAGAGTGAATTTATATCCAATGAAGAGAGCAAGCAGAAACTGTTACCCATTATGTCCACCCTGTTAGAAGAACTGAACGCCACAGGAGCCTGCACCCTACCCATAGGTATATCACTTTGTATTTGACTGTGTGTATTCCAGTTTTATATGAGAGTGATGCAAATATCAATATACTTTGTTAAAGGGACATAGATAAATGCATATGCAGATCTGTTCGGATTGTTTGAAGAAGATAGCATTTCTTAAAATTAGGTTAATATTCCTTGTTTACGGGTATAGCAATACAAGTGTGTAAATTGTATTCAGTGATAGTATTTTACAGACAATTAATGGCCAAAGCAAGCTGTAGGGTAAAGGGTGCGCTTTACCCTACAGCTTTTGCTGACACTTTGTGGTGGTTACATTTTGTAATACTAGTTATTTTCTAGCTGTTTAAAGACAGTATTTAAACTCATTATGTCTTCTTTATTGAGGAAGTATCCTACAGTATGCAGTCATCTATTCCCGGCTTGTGATACCGTATGTCTTATCTGTGGCATCGATCCAACTAACAAGACCCTTTCCTAAAACGGATTTATTGAATAGCAGTAATGAAGGTCATTGCCTAAAACACTTACTAAAGGTCTAAGCACAGGTTTATAATGTTGGTTTAAAAAAGTACTCCTTTGTGTAGCATTGATGTTCATTATTTGGCATTTGAAAACTAATAATAATGGTCAAGATTATGTTTATCTAAACTCTCTTTCTGTTTGCAGATGAGTCCAACACCATCCACCTGAAGCTGATCCAGCTGCGAAAGGACCCCCCCATCGTCCAGGAGTACGACGTGCCCGTCTTCACGCAGTACAAAGACCATTTCATCAAATCTCAGTGGGATCTCACCACTCAACAGGTAGGCCTTGTGGTCGATTTCTAGGAACCATTTGATAAGATATTTGCCAGAATTCTTAGAAGCAAATAAAGATTAGAGATGCTTTCCTGGTATCCGCTGTGCATGAAGTGATAGGAAAAGTTCTTTCTTATCCATTATTTTATGGATGAAAAGGAGGTCACTTTAGAAGAAAGTGCTAATAATTTGTGCAATAGGGTTTTATTGCTGTAAGAGTCTTGAATGTACTAGTACATCGAAGGCTCTAAAGATCTTCCTAAAGGGATACTGGGATCACCCGCAGAAATGCCTTTTGTGACCTTGAATCCCTAAAGAAATTAAATTGCATTTAGTTGACTTTTTATCCAAAGCGACTTACAATAAGTGCATTCGACCAGGAAGATACAAACTTGAAGAAAACAGAATCATATAAGTACATCAGGTTTTATAGAGCCTACTCAACTAGCTTTAGATAAGCCAGTCCTTTATTAGTATATAAGTGCTTTGTTAATAGTTTTATCGCTCGAAGTGGAGTGGAAAGAGATGAGTTTTCAGTCTGCGCCGGAAGATGTGTGGGCTTTCTGCTGCCCTGATGTCAATGGGGAGCTCATTCCACCATTTTGGAGCCAGGATAGCAAACCCACATGTTTTCGCTGATGGGAATTTGGGAAATTTTCTTTCAAACATCCAAAGCAAACAAAGAATACAGGAACAAAGACAATTCTTAATTAATAGAAGTAAGTTAGTTGAGACATATGTCATAACTCTCACACAACTCGCACAGTATAATTCCAGTCTACATTTCTGGTTGTATGCTCACATATTTGTCATTTATTTAAATCCCCTCAGACTCAGAGAGGGATAGCGTGACTTTGCAAGTGTGGTTGTGTTCATGCAGAAGTGTAAACAGTGAAGGAATGCTAGACAAAATCATTTTTCTTCAAGAATTTAAAGTAATCTGGTTCATTTTTGTTTACTGCAGATCTTGCCCTATATTGATGGATTCAGACACATCCAGAAGATCTCTGCTGAAGCGGATGTAGAGCTGAATCTTGTGCGCATTGCAGTGCAGAATCTACTGTGAGTACATTTCAGTGAAGAAAGGGCAAGACACACCAGCGGCAGCTCGCGTGCGTCAAAACACCCTCATCCATTGTTTTCTATGTACAGTAAGCCCGGGGGCTTCAAAACCAAAATGTCATGATAAATCACTTTCCTTTTCATCAGGCTGATGGCCGATAGCAGAAGTTTGCTCTTTTATTTTAAATGTGTACAATGTCTATGTTTGTGTTGCACTTAAGTATAGTATGAGTTTTATTCTCAAAAGAAACAATAAGAGGGAGGTACTGAAATGTCCTTTCTGTCATAGGTATTATGGAGTTGTGACCTTGGTGTCCATATTTCAGGTATAGTGTGATTCTTTTTATTTTTATGATATTGGGGTCACTATGATATCAAAAATAAAATCTAAATATTACAAGAAAAATATCAATATATTTGCTTATCATTTTTTATGAGCAGAATGAAATCAAAAATATAACTTATTTATAATAATGAGGCATTTACTGAAAGAGTAAGAAACAACAACACATCTAAACTCAATGCCAAATATGGTCGTCACTTTCTTCAACATCTTTTTTAATTTGCACTACACATTATTAATTCCTTGTTACAACCATCCACAAAGATAACCCCTTTGACATGTATACATCTATTCTTTTATTTTTTGTCTTTGTATCTAAACACACATATTCCCCTAAATTCACAATAGCTAAATACTACTCATTTTTTCTCACAGTGGCCTGATGCTCTGTCACAAATGTTTTAAGGGTTTGTTTAGTTTGGCAAATGTCCTGTCTCTGTTTACCCCCCACCAGTACTCCAATGTTTATTGCACCACCCCCAAAGTCCAAAGTCTCATAGATGACAAGTCCATTCAGGAAGAGTGCCTCAACTACGTCACTAAGCAAGGTAAATAAGGGATGTCTTTGTCGTGTTTGACGTCTGATTGTTTTTTTGCCTCCGAGGGGGCGGATTAAGTTTATTTTTGTTGTGAACATGATATTCTAGGAATGCCTTTAGGGAATTCTTTCAAATTGGACACCACGGTCCACTTGTACCCATGGAAATTAGGTTTTGGTGGACAAAAGTCAAGGTCACCGGGACCTCACAAAAAATATTTTTGTCCATATGTTGTGATTTTACATTTTATACATGTAATAAATACAAACGTCTAATAACATAAAATGATGAAGTGAGGACAATTTGCACAGACATGGATGTAAACTGCAACTTGATCAGTTTGTAGAGGCATACAACTACGAAGGGTTAATTCAATTGATTTGTATTGTTGTATATCAGGTCAGAAGCGTGCGAGTATAAGAGATGTCTTCCAGCTGTACTGTGGTCTGAGTCCAGGAACCACAGTCCGAGACCTTTGCTCTCGCTACTCGCAGCAGCTTCAAAGAGTTGATGAAAGGTCTGCATCAATCCCTTTATCAGTTCCTGGAAGTTCTTTATGACAACTGAAAAGTCAGATTGACATTTATTTACATGTGTGACATGTCATATTTCGCTTACAGGAGGCTGATCCAATTCGGACTGATGAAGACTCTTATTCGACGGCTGCAGAAATATCCGGTGAAGGTGAACCGAGATGAGAGGAGCAGGCTGCCTCGACTCTTCACCGGTTGTCATAGTTATGATGAGATCTGCTGCAAAACAGGCATGTTTTAAACCACTCTCGCTTTGTTTTGTATAGCTAATAATTAAATGTGAAAACACTTAACAATTATGTTTTTTTACAGGGATCAGTTACCAGGAGCTGGATGAACGTTTGGAAAATGATCCCAACATTGTGGTGTGTTGGAAGTGACATGAACATTGACTGAAAGACACAGAGATGCCTTTTTTCCGACTGAATAACAGGAAAAGTGAAGAGATTTTTTGTATATTTTTTGTGAGTGAAGTGTTTTTTTTTTTTTTAACAAATGTCGTAATTAATAATTATCATACATTTCTGTTCAGATCAAGAGAGGACGGTCATATTTATTATTATTGTACAAAATATAATTTGTGATTAATAAAAGACATTATACCACAATGTGATAGATTGTCTTAACTCACAGTAAGAGAAAACCCTTTAACATTTAATTTAATTTTATAGCCATAGAAAACTAATCCAGAGAAACACTAAACATTTTTATTTATTTTTCACAAGATTTACTTAATAAATATAGCTACTTTTACAAATAAAAGATTGTACCTACAAAATATCTGATGAGCTTATAAAATAACCTTGCCTCCTACACTCCTACATATACTTATATATATTCTTGTTTAAAAATAATAATAATTTTTAATCAATAGTCCTTTTTTGTAAATATGGTCCAGTTTTTTTAATTTTAGAGGTTGAAGCAGGGTTGAAGTTAATATATGTCTCATTATTAAAATGATTTCAAAATAAAATAAATTGTGCAAGAACAACAACATGTAGAGAGAAAGGGAAACACAACGTTCGGGTCCTGCTGAACAATCAGAGCAAATGTCAAAATAATCTAATCGTTTTTGCCAATTTATAGTTTTTAATTTAACTTTGTTCTACTCTGATTGCCGTTGTTTTTACCTGAAGCACCGCCCCCCTCTGGCGGGAGGGGAGGAACTGCGCGTTGGGTGAGCTTGTTTTACAGTCACCATGACAACCACAGCTAAAGAAGAGTATCACTATCCACTACAACTATCGCTGAAGAGACAACTCTTCTACTTTTTTAATTGATAGGTTGGTAAATAGTTTTCTCCCACGACATGGAGGCGTCTGTCGTTCTCCCTATTGAAGCAGAAGCGTTTGTGAAAAGTCTGGAAACTTTCTCTCTCAAGGAAGTGGGCTCTGAGAGGTAAGATGAAGCAGCTAACACACACCTGTGCTAACGTTAGCAACATGTTAGCGTAGACTAGCAGGTGGAAGTATTGACATTATTTACTGAAGTAAAGTAGCAGTACTACTACAGTATTAAAATACTCTGCTCCAAGTAAAAGTATGAACTATTAGCGTAATATGTACTTTAATCTATATAAATCGTTCACTGTTGATATGTACTGTACATATTGTACTGTTCTTTTATTTATTTTTACTGTTTATTCATATATTCTCTGTTTATGTTTATTTTGTATTTTATTTATTTATTTTCCCAAACTGGGATCCATGGAAATATATTATCTTATCTTTAGGTACCAAAAGTAAAAGTACTCATTATGCAGAATGGCCCATTTAAGCACCATATATTATGTTTATATATTATTGTATCCCGGTAATACTTATTTATGCATTAATGTGGTCATCACTTCAGCGTTGCACTTGGTAAAAGTGGGGTTCATTTGAACTACTTTATATACCACTGGGTGGCCTCACCTTTATTGATATATGGCAATGTATTTGTCGATTTATATTTTGAGTTAATAACAAAATAAATCTGCATTTGTAATAAACTTAGTGGAGTAAAAAGTTGAACATTTGGCAAAATACATAAATCCCAGGAGAAAATGTGGTCAATTAAGATTTGGTTAATGGCTTTCACGGCCTTAGTGTTGGTTATGACATATACAAAAGAGCCCCTTTGTTGTCATACAATGTATGCATGTATGTAATGCTTTCAAGAATGGTTGTAAAAAAAAAGCAACTTTTTGTAGCTTCACAAAACAACACAATTCAAGGTTACACGAGAGAAAAATATATGAATGAGTAACATATAAGCAAGATATTAAGTCTTACCAGACCTCAGGTTTTCGAGAGGTTTATTTCAAATATGTGGTCTGCTTGGTTAAAATGGCATTCATAAAGCTTACCTCACACTTTTTATTTAATTTTCTATGTGTGTTGACAGGTGGTTCAGACAGCATGAGCACATTGAGAAACTCAACATGCAGGCCATACTGAGTGCTACTGCCATGCACGATGAGTTTGTCAAGGAGGTCCTGGTGTCATATGGAAAGGTGACTAGTCTACATGTGATGAGAGACGCCCTGCTAAATTATCTGGTTGTTTCTATCTATATTCTAGTATGTTTTTCCTCACCCTCTCTAGATACCCATTCTGGTCCATGAAATGATCCTTGTGGAAGTGTGGAAGCACAAAGTGTTCCCCGTTTTATGTCAGTTGCAGGACTTTAATCCAAAGAGTACATTTCATCTTTACATGGTGGTGAGTGACACATGAGTTGTAAAAATGACAATCAGCTTGAAGCACTCATAACAGATTTTTGATGTCATTTGATGTATATTTCTTAGATTCACCATGAAGCCACAATCATAAACCTGCTTGAAACGATAATGTATAACCAGGTAAGTGTGTACACAAAAACATACTTCTAAATTACATTATTTTGACATTTTGTATGTGTTAAAGCATGAAAGTTATCATACGGCAATTACATGTTCTGTTTCTGTATGCAGTATACACTGTCAAGCTTTTTTTGAAATGTTCAAAGAGTTGTGTGTCCTGCAGGACTCGTGTGAGGCAGCTGGGGACGCTGTTCTTGACTTGGTGGATTACTGCCACCGCAAACTCAGCCTGCTGGCCAGCGGAGCGACCACTGAGGGCCAACACAAGCTGACTGGGAAGGCCGGTGTGTCTTCTATAGAGGTACGAGAGTCTGACGTCTATGGTTTGGGGGTTTATTGTTCAGGCATATTGAGAGAAGTCTTTCTTTTACCTAAACTGATAAGTCATATCATTGTTTTCTCGTGATGAAGGAGTTGCAGATGCAGAGTGCTGCGCTGGAATTTGAAATCTCCCTGAAGGCCGTCTCTGTGCTGCGCTTCATCACTGATCACACAGAGAGGTAAGTTAAGTTATTAGAAGCTGAGAAATATTATAATAAAGGTTAACGGCTTGTTTTTGTCTGACCAACAGTCATATTAACATGCCTACAATGTAAAATGATATATATGCATTCCATTTAGATTGTATTATATATATATATATATACAGACATAACAAGGATAATTGCAAAACAGTAACAGGAAATGTTCTTTCAAAATGTTCACATTGGAGGATTTGGGTTCCGGTATTGTTCAACGTTTTGTTTGTAAATTAAAAAAATGTAATTCATAAAAGTTGCAGAAAATTAAATGTCCTTTATTTTATGAATTGACCAGTCCTTTCACTTCTATAACTGAGGGAAGGTTTTTTTCCTTACAGTATAAGTGTCATCAACCGCATGCTCTGCACCCACAACATACCCTGCGTGCTGGTTTATCTGATCGGCTGCTGCCCTTGGAGTCGACATCAAAAAGGTGAATCACATCTCTCGTATTTTGAATGTTCTCTAAACTTGTGCATGGACAATATTAAAATAGGTCAGTTCTGCTTAATAAGTGACCATTTATCTAATTGAAGGTGAGGTAGAAAAGTACATAAACGGAAGATGGCAGAGCATTCCTGGTGAGGACCGTTTAAAGATGACAAAGCTGGATGGTCAGGTCTGGATTTCCCTCTACAATCTCCTACTGAAGGAAGACTGCCAAAGGAAATATAACTTCAACAATTACAACAAGAACCAGCTTCTAAAGGTATATTCACACAACATGTGTACTCACTTTTTGCATCTGACTGCACATTTTTACATTCTTTTATGTTCCTTTACTGCTGCTTGAGATATTTGACTTTAAATTGTATCAATCAACTCCTCCAAGAGAAGTTTAGGAAGTGTGTGAGTGCCATATCCCCCTCCTCCAACATCATATCTGATCTCCTTGCTTGTTTAAACACAGATTCAGTTTCTAGGGTTGTTTTGACTTAGATGTTTCCTGCTATTATATGCGTTCTCATCCTCTTCCTGTTGTATTAGTTATATAACCCGGGCCGTGTGCATCCTCCTGTAATCATATTTTCTCTTGTGCCGTCTGCCTAACTCATTGTAGAAGACATTGCTGAAGTTGTTTTTGTTGCTGCTGTAATATTTTGTGTGTGCCACAGCTCCGGGGTTTCATGACGGAGGTGTTGTTGGATCAGCTGCCAAATTTGGTGGAGCTGCAGCGTTTCCTGGCTCATCTCGCCCTCACCGACCCGGCCCCTCCTAAAAAAGAACTTGTTTTGGAACAGGTACACACTCACACATGTGCACACTTATCTGTACCTATATATTATATGTGCCCTGTGAATTCACCCTCTGCTTTATGTATAGATCCCAGAAATGTGGGACAACATTGTGAGAGAGAATTCTGGGAAGTGGAAGGCGATAGCAAAGTATCAAGTCAAAGAAACGTTCAGCCCGTCTGAAAGAGACCTGAGGCTGCAGGCCCAGAGGTAATGCATAAAACACAAGGCTGAGACACAAGAGATACATCAAATCCATCAAATTGCTCTCTGATTATTATTGAAATGGTTTTATCAGGTTGGACCAGGTGTACAATTTGGACGTGATGGAGAGTTTACTCCCTGAGAAACCAAAGTGTGGATACTGTGGGAAAGAGGCGGCAAAGAGATGCTCTCAGTGTCAGGGAGAGTGGTACTGCCACAGGTAAGATACAAACATATAACTGACCATGGTGTAAAAGGAGCTGAGCCTGGGGGCATGGGCACCATTTACCTGTTGATGTATTTTCAGACCATCATATACAGTGGGGCAAAAAAGTATTTAGTCAGCCACCAATTGTGCAAGTTCTCCCACTTAAAAAGATGAGAGGCCTGTCATTTTCATCCTAGGTACACTTCAACTATGAGAGACAGAATGGGGGGGAAAGAATCCAGGAAATCACATTGTAGGATTTTTAATGAATGAATTGGTAAATTCCTCGGTAAAATAAGTATTTGGTCACCTACAAACAAACAAGATTTCTGGCTCTCACAGACCTGTAACTTCTTCTTTAAGAGCCTCCTCTGTCCTCCACTCGTTAACTGTATTAATGGCACCTGTTTGAACTCGTTATCAGTATAAAAGACACCTGTCCACAACCTCAAACAGTCACACTCCAAACTCCACTATGGCCAAGACCAAAGAGCTGTCAAAGGACACCAGAAACTAAATTGTAGACCTGCACCAGGCTGGGAAGACTGAATCTGCAATAGGTAAGCAGCTTGGTGTGAAGAAATCAA